TTTATCAATAAAGGTTCTGAGAAAGAAAACATCGAAGTGATCCTGTCTCGATTTCTTTTTAATTGAAAAGTTTTTCATTGAAAGTTAAAAGAACACAAATTAATAGAAAGGAAATTCAATAAAAGACCGAAAAAGCATCAAAAGAGTAGATAATTGATTTCGTGAGGGCTTTACCCTAATTTCTTTCTCTGATTTAATTAATGAAGTTGTTTTTGTTGAAATGCATAAAACATTTACAAACAATTTTCCCTTTAAAAGTAATATGAAAAGAAATAAATCGGCGCCAGGCTGTTGTGATGTGGAAAAACTTTCTTTCTTTTTTAAACTTTATGAACACAGGGCGAGACAAGGAAAATGAATTTTCTAATCGTCTAAAAGTATTTTCCCTTTTATTATTAAAAAAATTTCTCTCCTCACAATAAATCCTTCCATGTAATTTCTTTAATAATATTTATAAGTATTTGCTAAAAACTGTTTTTCATTTTTTTTCTTCAATTTCTATGTAAATATAATATAGTTATAAAATAGAATTATATGTGTTGTATAAATATAGTTGATTTGAATAATTTTATTTTCTTTTTATGTTTAATTTTTCTTCTTCTCTTTTTTTTCATCATTCATCAATAAATATTTTGCAGATTCAGAGAAAAATTTCTTTAAATAAAGAAGAAAATGAAAATTTGAGTCAATCGATTTTATTTATTTATTTATTTATGTACAGTAAGTGTTTTCGTTGTGAAGGTGGAACGCGAATATGGAAGAGTAAGAGAGAAAGAGATAAAGCTTGAGATAAAATTAGTGAAAGGATTTTTAAATTTTTTTCTATTTTATTTATTGTTTTTACATTCATAAAGAAGTTCGTGAAGAAGAGAAGAAGACAAGTGAAGTTTAATGAAAAACTTCTGTTACGAATGACGATTGAAAGAATTCATAAAATATTTCTTACTTCATTTATTTATGTTTTTATGTATAGTCGGAAATCATAAATGTACACAACCATCGAATGAAAAGTTTTTTATTTAATTTTTATTAAGCTATTGAGTTGCTGAGTAAGTTGAGTAAAATTCTATTTACAAGCCTTTCTTTTTTATTTCAATTTCTTTTCTTTTTTTCTTATTTAATAATTTAATATGTGAGAAAGAAGAAGACGAAGTTACGGTTTCAATCATAAATATTCATATTTCATTTATTTTTCTTTTTCTTGAGTTCAATTGCTTTTTTGTCGCGTCTGAGATTTAATTAAGAAGCAAAAGGAAACACGAAATTTGATGAATTGCTTTCTAGAAGTTTTTTTGTTTCTTGTTGGGTCGGTTGGTTGGATTATTTATGCTAAGAATTGTTCATTTAAAGTTGTCAATAAGAAATTATTTTGCTTTCTTTGGGGGTGTGTTGAAGGGGGTGGGTGGGAAGTTTGGAATTCGGACTTGATAAGAAGAGAAACCGAAAATATTTCTTAACATTATCTTATATCTAGTTAAATATTAATTAACTATTTGAAGAACATGATGTCGTGTCAATACAATTCTCAAAGACTGTCACCACGAACAATTGTTTATTACAATCTAATTAAAACAAAAGTTTTCTTAAGACAAAAGTAAAATTGAACTAAAACACGAGAATGAAATTTATTTGAAGATGAAAGAAAACAAAGAAAAAATAAATTTTGCTAACTTAAGAGGCGAAAAAAATATTTCTTAATTAACATGTGAAACTAAATATTACGTAATTAGCAAGGAGGTAAATGGAATTAATTAATTTTTACATAAAATAAAATCTAAGTATTAACGTTGCGCTTTTTTTTTCTTTACTTTAATTATTTCCAGTCTAAACTGTTGGCATTTTACATAAAAGTATAAATTTAATTAATTAATCGAAAAAAAAGGTAAAAGTAAATTAAATTGTTATTCCAACAGTCACAAAACAAAATTAATTTCGCTGAGAAAATTTCTTCACAATTTAGTCAAAGTTTTTTAAAAGAAAAACCAGAATTAGAAAAAAGAACAAAACAAAAAAAGCTCCATGAAAGCTTTCGCAAGTAAAATAATAAAAATCATTCACGAGGAGCTAAAAGAATTAGTTAGATAATTAATTTACATGCTGATTGAGCATCGTGATGTTTACTTTCTTCCTCTTCTTCATTTATCATCGGGATTCATTTTCTTCTCGTATGGTGGCAAACAAGCAGCTAAATTGGAAAAATCAACAACGATTTGCATACCTTGTCCCGAGTTTTGTGTGAAAATGGGAAAAATTTGATTCGTTGCTGCAGCTGTCGCCATGTAATGTGTTGTTCCATTTTGTGGTGATGATGATGATGGTTGATCCGAGCTGATCGACTCGAGCCGTTGTCATTTCGTTTGGTTCTGCATTGCAGCATTTATCTGCGTCCATAATTCCTTCTTACATGATTTTGATCTTGAAGAAGTTCAAAAAAGAAATTTGGAACGAAGAAAAGAAATTAAGATTTGAAAAACTTTTAAAAATTCATAACAAACCTTCTTATCGATTGAATCCAATCTTTGAATTGATTATGACCTTCGGGTGTGATTTGAAAAGCAGCTCTCGCTGATAAAATTGTGTTTGTAAACTCTTCATAATCAGCTACTGTCAAGTGATACAATTTCGTGTGAATGCATTGAATGTACCTGGGAAGGAAAAAAGGTCAAAAGTCATCAATTTCACTTCAACTCTAATCAAGAACTTACATTTGCTGACACTTCTGAACTAATGGCAACAATGCTGATCTCAAATGTTGCATGACCAAAGCTGAATTATTTGAATTACTTCTCGCAAGATAATGCGCTGATTCAATAGCAACTTCATGTAGAATAAACGGACTCACGATAGAATTAACAGCACAAATACAGAATTGATGTAAATACTGCGTTCCAAGACGCTTTGAGATTCGTAAAAGCCATTTCACGTCTTCACCATACGGTGGATTTCTTGCATATTTTGCTTGCGGACGATCGTCATGAACTCGACGCGCCAAAGTTTCCAAAGCAAGCATTCCAACATTATAAGCTTGCAATAAATATCTCAACTGTGTCGGGCTAAATTGATGTCGATGACGAACGTTCATGCCACCAGACGACGCACTTGTGTTGGGAAAAACAACCATCGGTGGTGGAGGTTGTCGTCCCATATTCGGCACAGCATTTCCCGGTTGCATTCCACCCGGTCCTTGTGGAATCCCCACAGGCGGTGGATTCGCGAAATACTGCATTGCGCCTGGTATTTGACCAGGTTGATTCGGCGGTGGAACATTCACTTGAACAGGCATCTGTGGAAATTGTTGTGGTCCATTGCCACATGGCATCGGCTGATATCCTTGCGGTGGTTGTGGATGTCCCATCGGATATTGTGGCGGCATTTGTGGCTGAACATACGACGCTGCAGGGTTACTTCCATGTGCTTGTGGTGGCGGCGGGTAAGGAAATTGTGATGGGGATATGTACATTTGCATTTGATTTGCAGCATGATACGGCAGATTCTGGTAGAGTTGTTGACATGGAAATGTCGCGTAGGGATAAGTTGGAAGGCCAATCTGTGCTAATGGCATTTGCGGGGGTGGGTAAGGTTGCTGGGGATTTGGTTGTGGACCTGGTGGTGGTGCTTGCGAGACTGTCGGTTGCTGTTGTTGCACTTGCTGCTGCACTTGTTGAACTTGTTGCTGCTGCTGTTGCACTTGTTGCTGTTGCAAATCATTTGAACTGTCAACAAGTGACATTAAATTGACATTAAAGTAATCGTGTTGTTCTTCTGGCTCCAATTCACCGCCCGGCGTATTACGTAAGTACAATTCATACCAATATTTGGCGACTTGAAAAAGAACTTCGGGATAAACTCCACCACCTTTAGCTGCTTTCTCAACAGTTATGCAAGCTCGTTCCAACATTTGATCGCTTTGTTCTTTACATTGCAAAATTGCACGTTGGATTTCGTTGGGATTTAAAGCAGCAGCATGGGGAAGAACTGAGAGAGCTAATTCAGCTGCTGGGTAAACCATATTTCCATCCCATCCACGTGACGATGCACGATCAGCCATTCCAGCTGTTTCTGGGGGCGTCAAATGTCCTTCCCAAGTGTCAATTAAAAATGAAATTGCCGGGGCACCAATTTCCATCGCTTGTCCCATAATCCACGACACATGTGACGAATATGTTCGTGACAACCAATTTGGACTTACACAATTATGCAATCCAAGTGCATAAAGTCCAATTTGAAAGGCGCACATATGAAGTGCACGATGTGGATCGTGAGAGTTGTTAGCAGCATTTGTTTGAGTGAATAATGAAGTTGAGCTTGTGCCACCGCCTTTTGTGAGAACATTCTTTGCTAATTCAAACATAAAATGAGCGCTGGCTTCTGATGGTTGATTGGGAATCGATGGATAAGCTCGCTTTCCTTTATATCGAAGATCCTTTGTTCGTGAGATTGTTCCAGTCATCGTATTTGACATCATTTGTGGTGGTGTGCTGCTTGCTGCTGGTTGAATATTATTCGACGTACCAATTGAAGGATTTAAAGTCATTGCTGACATTCCATTCTCTAATTCAGCACTCGTGCTGCTCTGTGGTCGTGAATTGCCATTAAATTCATTCAACAAGTCATTTGTTGAGTATTGCGCTTCAATTTCTGCATCCATTCGCATTTGTGATGACTGACTTCGTGTGGGTGGATTATTTGAGTAATATGATGGCAACAACGGTGTCTTAATGAGTGTGTGAATCTCACGATCGAGAAGTTTCTCCATTATTCGACAAATCTTCCGCGGTTCATCACGATAATATGACAAAAGTGTCAATGCCAGGTCGCCTCGTTGTCTTCTCGTTCCTTCACATAAAAGTGGATGTTCAGCTTCAGAGACATTCGCTTTCAATCCCAAAGCTGCAACAGCTGCTTCAAAGCCGAGATTCTCATCTGTCGGATAACGATATGAGCTGCACATGAGCTTCATTCGATTCTCTTTTCCTGTCACACTCGGCATGACTAAAGCATCAAAGATGAAACTTGCTAGCATAATTGGAAGTAAAGCTTCACCACGTGTCTTTAATGTTCCATCACGTAACGCTTCAGCACGTTCACGAATTACTTTCAATTCCATTCCACCTAAAGGAATCTTCTTTAAAAGTGCCAACAAATCTGATTCTTGATTTGCTAGTTTAACTTCAAGTGGCTTCGTACTTGCTGGTGGGCGTGGCATTTCCAATCCAAATAAACAGACACGGAATGCAATGTGATAATGTTCAGAATTTTCAGCCAACACTGTACATAAGAAAGCACATTTTGCGAGTGTTGCTGATGCGAGAACGCTTACTTGATGTGAGATCGGATTGATGTGCTTTTTGCCTTTTCGTTTTGGCGGCGGTGGAATTTCAATCATTAAGTTTGGAGGATGAGCAAGCATTTGTTCAGCTAAACGTACAGCAAGAATGCAAGCTTCACGTCCATGTCCATGTGCATGCAAACCTTCAGCACGAGCAAATAAAATGTCCCAAGCGTCTTCACTTGGTTTCAGATTCGAGAACATTTGAATTTTCGCATTTGGATCATGAACAGCTGGAGGATTTTGAAAGACGTTTGGTTTCTGGAAAAAGTCATTAATTTTCACCTGAGCTGACAACGACGACGACTCGACGTCTTTGTTTATTCCATCTTGGATTTCATCTTCACCAACAACGCCAACTTCTTTGTCTTTGTCAATGTTATTCACTTTTATCTCGTTAGATGTGTTAAAAGAATTAAAATCATCATTTGTTTGACTGTCAGAACTTGTTGAATCATCTTTTGACGATCGTCTTGAATTTTCTTTTCGAATTGCATCAAAATTTTCAACTGAAGATGTCGACGGTTGGTGTTGTTCAGTTTGTTGTTGTGATTCATCGAAATTGAAGTCTGGTGAAGGGAGAATTGTCATTTGTGGTTGTTTTTGTGATTCAATTGACGATGATGCTGTTGATGAGAGAGAATTTGATGATGATGGCGATACAAGATCGTTGATTGGAAGAATAACTTCAACTTTCTCATCATTAGCTGGTGTTGCTGATTCATTATTTGTCGTTGATAATAAAATCGAATCTTCACTTTCCATCGCCTCATCATTTTGAACAGCTTCAGATTTTCTTACTGTTGTTGACGACTCTTTGAGAACATTTTGTTGATCATCAATCTCATCTTCATTCTCACAAAATCCTTCACTCGACACACTTGAACGATTTCCACCAAAATCATCATTTCGTTTCGAATCATTTGCTGAAAGATTCACAACACAAGGATTCAAATCGATGTTGTTGACACTGTCACTGCTACTTTGACTGTTTAAGCTACTCGATGCATAACTTCGACTTCGATTTGCTTTCTGAATTCCTCCAGATGACGACGAAGCGCCAACAGCTTGTGATGATAACGTCATGTGATTGTGATTGTGATGATGATGAGCTTGTGAATGAAATTGTTTAACATTATTCGTTAAAATTGCTTGACTTGAATGAACAGTCGTGACGACACCAGTTGATGTTGTTCCGCCATCAGTTTTCGATTCTGATTTGAAACATGTGAAGGGACAATGATACATTGGATTCGTGTCTTGTGTATGAGTAATTCCAGGTATTGGATAATCTTCCCAATCAAGATAACAAGCTTCAATAGCAGGCTTAAATCCCGTGAATAATTCCGTGTCATTTCTCATATTCTGCTGCTGTCGACTGTTGTGTGATGATGAAGCAACAGTGCACTTCGTAACACGATCGAGAATCTTTAAATGCCATGTCGTGAATTGAGCATGAAGTAAATCACGTTCGTCAGGAGCTAAGCCAGGATTTAGCGATGCCAATCGCCATAAAACGACAATTTCATCACAAAGTGATGCACAAGCATGTTGCATTGAATTTGAATTATTATGAGCATTGTTATGTTTACCACCGCTGTGACTTCCGTAACCAATGAGAAGTGTCAACTTTATATTAAACCACCAAACTAAGATCTGATCCACAGACATGCACTCTTCAGTGATGATTTCAAGCAAGCGAATTGCATTGCGATCGCATCTTCGATACATTTCACGAACAATCGAAAGAAGATTCCACATCCCTTCCGGCTCACGCCCACGCAATGGACGAAGCAGTGAACTCCATTCAGCTGCTGCTGGTGGTGCTGAATTTGTTAAATAATTCACATCGCTAAACACCATTGGCGTGGGCATGCAAAACTTTATTAAAATCTTGGCAATGTTATCGTGAAGTGTTTTCTCATCGAGATACCAATTTGTAAGATCATTTATTGATGCTCCAGCTGTCGGATCTGGTGCTCCACAAACTGTGTTAATCGTCGTCGGCTGTGAGCTTAACAATTCATCAAGAAGACGTTGAGCTGTTGGTAGAATTTGTTGTGGTAATTCGCTAATTAAATATTGTGCAAACTTTTGCAATTGATCGCGTTGAAGTCTTGTCAGTGACTCTGAAACTGGCGCTCTTAAACTCACTTTTGTTGGCTTAAAAAGAAAAATATAAATTTGTGTGAGGCTTCATTTCAAATTTATTTAAAATTTTCAAAACTTACACAATGAATTCTGAAGAGACAAACAGCAACGACATGTGAACACCAATAAGCAGAAGAACTGCATGTACAGATGCATGATGAGATCCGTCGTCGATCAAATGTTACTGCAACATTATATTGATTCCTCGGTGATTGAATATTTACTGTAGCTGACAGATGAAATCCAATCTGCAGGGGATCTTTAACGCATTTCGTTTTGAAAAGTTGTTCCCCACGATGAAATTCATCGGCAGAGCTGTTTGCGAGACAAGAGTAGAGTCTGATGTCTTCTTCATTATCTGGAAAGCTCCAGAATGCTATACGCAATTGTAATTGTTCGGGAACGGGCGGAAAAACATGTTCAACAAGTTCAAAAGGAATGAAAGAAGCAACACAGCGCGCTGCTAATTCTGTGAGGGAAATTGGATCTTCAGTTGGCTTTTTCGGTACACTACTACCAAACGATGTGTTATTGTTTGGATTTGGCTTTTTCCATCCTCGCCAATTATTACATAAAGATTCCTGTTCGGAGCTCCATGAGCAAAGGGAACCTTCCGAGAATCTGTCTGAGTCTTCAAAGCTCAATCGGTCATTTTCTTGTTCGTTATTCCAAACGCCACCGTCTTGGTTAATTTGATTCGGTGGCTGATCGTTGTTCATCACTTTAAAGTCATGTTTTCATGTTTCGAATAAGGAGAGAGAGAGAGAAAAAAATTATTTTTTTTTGTTTGTCAGACAAAGGATACGAGAACGGGGGGAGAAGTGAAGAAAAAAATTCTTCCCGTGCAGTCAATTCACCTAAAAACTATCAAAAATTTGTGTTTTTTGAGATTAAACCTCAAAAATTATTCTCTAACGATGAAGGTTCGTGCATTAGCTCGATGAAAATGAATCCATTGTTGTGATTTGAGTGAGAATTTTCAGAAATTCACGAATTCAAAAATTTGCCCTCAATTTGAAACTTTCAATATTTCCGCACTATTTTCAAAGATTTCCAACGCCACCCCATCAAATACACTACACAATGCACTTTTCTACACACTACGCACTATTTGGGATGCGTTTTCGTACGAATTAATTGAAAATATCTTGGAGAGAAAAAATATTATTACTGAAAAATATTTCTGAAAACCTCACACAGGGTGGTTTGAAATATTTTGTCACACGTCTACAGATGTTTCTCACTAAAGAGAAACTGTTGACATGATTTCTATCGTAAGCAATAACATTTGTAGGGTTTCATTACATTTATATCGTGAAAATTTTGTTAATGTTTCAAGGATAAAGTTTTTAAGGAAGTTAAGAATCTTAATGTTAATATCATTATTTTTATGTGAAAACTTAATCTTAAATTAAAACTCTGATTTTTTTAAAAAAAATCTTTAAAATTATTAACTATTGTTTGATAATATCTTATTAAGTGAGTATGATGATTCATCGTCAGATTGATACAATATTTATGATTATCTTAAACATTAATAGCGATATGATTAACTTTTTATATGTTGAATAACTGGCTTATAAAGGATTTTCGTTTTCTTCTCACACTTTTACGTGAATTAAGAAAATTCTACACGATCTCGTGACTAAATGTAAGTGAAATAAGTTGAAAAAAATGCTTGTTTTGTTCTCTTGTGACTGTATTTATTATTCATTCACCTGACTTTTTCAGCACAGTAAATATCAGACGAAAAAGTGTCATGATTCAACTCGTATCATTTAGATATCTGTTACTTTCTTCCTGTTTCTAAGAAAATGGTTAAAATTGTTTTCCTTTTCTTATCTTAACCAAAAATGAAAACTCTCCATTTACATCTATATTTATGTTCTTTCCTTTTCTTCTATTTGGAGGCTATCTATAGAGATAAGTTTCATTTCCTTCTTATTTATTAATAATATCATCGTCTTCTCCGCAATAGTCTTCACAATAATTTATTAATAAGTCTCATCACTTTCTACTTTTACAATGTTTCTCAATCTCATCTCAGCATAAACATTTTCTTCTCAAAGAATATTGATTATATCTCATTCCCAACCATCAGCCATTGCTTGCGTAACGGGTGAACATTGCTAAATATTAATTAAATAAATGTTTCGAATGCAAATATTGATTGTTTAATCAAATCATTTTCTGGATAGTTAATCAACGAAAATTCATATTTTCGTGTCAAAATTTATCATTTTTGTTAACATGTGTAAGGACATGAAGGTCGATTTTTTATATCTAGAATTTCGAGGCTCTTTCTGTTGTCAAATGTTTATCTTTTGTTAGATCTTAGATTTTTCTGGCTACATTAATTTCGACCATTCGAGCTTTTCAACTTGAGTTTGTAAATGTTTTCATCAGAGTGTCACAAATAGAAGAAAAAAAAATGAGAATTTTATTGTGCGTTTAATAAATGGCACAGCTATTTGTATTGCTATCTAATGAAATCGTGAATATACATTCACTGGTTTATTGTTGTTGGGGGTCGAGGTTGTTCTAGTGCTGCATTTGAAAGAGAAATGAATAGTGTGAGTAAGAAATGGAATCAGATAAATTAATTTTGATTCTGGTTTAATGTGGAATGAGAAAATCTGAATTTAATTGTTTGCTTACGAAGTTCTCGCCTTTATTTTTAAGTTTTGTTGCAAAATTGTTATCGTGCTTAACAGAAACTATTTCGTTATGCAATTTAAATGCTTCGGTATGAAATTACTTAAACTAATAGCTTTGTTTTGACGAGTATCAAGAGAGATAGAAGATACAAGATTAATGGAAATATGTATGGGAGATATTTAAAGAATGTTGATGAATAATTTTTTTTTTCTTTATTGTTGTTTGGCTTTATGCTTTATGTTTGTGAAGCATAGAATGAATTTATGCTCGTTGCTCTTATTTATATTTAAATGGAGCATAAAGTTTGTCTTGTAGCCCTTTTGTTTGAACAAAATTGTTCTCTAGTGATGGAACAAGCTGTTTCATGTGGTTATTGTTGTTACTCATCAAATTTACTAATTACATATTGCAAGTTCAAATATATTATGTTCAGATTAATTAATTGACAGTTTTGTAATTAATGTTCTAGGCTAATTTGCTGAAATTAGGTTAATAGTTTGGGATATTTAAACGACCAGGTGTTGTTAAATTTCTTTCAAATTTTATTTTCGTTTATTTTCTACAGCCAATCAATAAATCATAAAACTTACTTTAAGTCATATCTTTACACAGAAATTAACAAAAGTGATTCGAAATCGAAAAAGCAATTATCAAATTATTAAAGTCAACAATTTTAACAACGAAACAACAAATCGAAACCATTTTCATGTTTTTGCATTTTCAGTTGTCTTGTCCCAACAACCACTACAAATAAATCACGAAATGTTTTGTTATTTTGCATAAAAGGAATTGCTTTTTAGTTATGAAAAACAATGATAACAGACACAGTTGTGTTGCATAGTTTCGATGAGGGTAGGAAAGGGAAGGATGAGTTTTCCTTTTTCATTTTTGTTGTACCTTTTTTTTTTGGGAACTGTTTACATGATCTAAAGTGAAACTCCAAAATGTGACCAACATCATGTTGTATCATTTAATGTTTGGTACATAAATATCTACACATCAGCATTCGAATGGCTTTTTGCTCTCTTCTGAGAAATTTATTGCGTAACACATCCTAAATAATCCAAACAATTAGAATTTATTTCCACATTTTTGCTGTTGTGAAGCTAATTAATTCAGCTTTTATGTATGTCAGATGAAGAATTAAAGATAAATTTCAATCTATTGACTAAAGAATGACCCAAATTACTTTAATCGAAAGCGCCATGCAGCTCTTTACCAATGAACATGGTTTTAGGCTAGAAACCTTACGTACACGCATACACACAGATGGATGGTTGAGTAAATAGGAAGAACAGTGGAAATTTAATTAATATCGCTCATCCCACCCCGCCTGACTTACTTCATTTCATCCTTTCGTCGTCTCCAAACTTTCTCTTTCCTTCTTAGTCTAAGATAATCATTACGCTTCAAGAGAATCGATATCAAAACTATTATCTTCAACACTTTATTCATAGCAGTCTCACTTCCTTCTACATACAACAGTTTTATTATAATTAAATTATCTTTTACGCTCGTCCCATTCCTTAACTTTCATCAACATCACCATCATCATCAACATCATCATTGTTATTATATTAGATTCCTGTGATGATCATCAAAAAAATTTCCGCTCTTACGCCTTGTCTTCTTAATAAAAGCAAACAAAACGCTTGATGCCATCATATTTAATCCATGTTGGAATATTAAAAGTTCTGTCATTCTTTTGTTTAAACAAAGTGGTGTGAGATATAATGAGAGTTGTGAGCATGCGAAAGGAAAAACATCGCAAATTGCCTGATAGTTCCAGAGCTAATTTAAAACATTTTAGATGTTAAGCCATCATTTACAGCATGTCGTAAAAAATCTTTTACGGTCATGGAGAGATTTAATTAGAAATAAAACTTTAAAAACCTTTGCACAGACATTGAAGGATTAAAGAGAGATTGAATTGAATGAACGCGATGCGGTGAGAACGAGAACGGGGAAAATGGATCGTTTCGAGGAAACATTTAATTTATGTAGGTGAGTATGGGGAAAGCTTAACGAATTCATTGTCTGAAGCGAGGTCTCGAGTCTCTTCCGTTTCGTTCGTAGATTTTCTTTGTTACATGTAACAAAAGATGTGTAAAGAAAGATTCTTTGAATATTTAAGGATTTTAATTGATCAGACGGAAGATTTTGTGTGTGTGTAAGTTAATACTTTTGTTGATGGGTCGGCTTGAAGAATCTTGGCAAAATTTTGACTTGTTTTTATTCATGATGAATAAATTTTCTTAATTCTCTCATTCCTAAATTTGAATGCATGATAATTAGAGTTTAGAATTACATTACAAGCATAAAGCATGGTAGAAATTTTCTGCAGCGGAGAATATTCTGTTCTGACCAACATAACTTTTCCTTACTTTTTAATTCGATGTTTATTCACAACGTTTCATTGTTTAACAAATTTATTACTTTAAATTTCTTGAAAACTTTAACTTTGCTATTTAAGGAAGTTTTTCAGCTTTGAAAATGCTCAACTCACCTGTTAAATGATTTTTCTTTAAATTGTATGAAAAGATATTTTGAAAATCTGAAAGAAAAACAAGCATTTGTTCATGTCCAATCGAGAGAGAAGCGCTGAGTATTTCCAACCTTTTAGTTTCATTATTTTCCTTCCTCTCCATACTCCAAATAATTACTTACGTTAAACTTTAAGAGTCTTTTCTCATTCGAATGATTTTCTTCCTCGCATCTTTCGATGTTTAAGATGTAATTAACAGAATAACTTTCTAATATTTCCTACCGAGATGGGATGGAAGTGAAAAGAAGACTTTTTCCCTCTTCTGCATCATGTGAAAAATGTCTGACTGATTCTCTCAAAATATTCACATTGTTTAAATGCTGCTTTTGATTGAAAGGAAAGTTTAAATCCTAAAGCAACACATTATGTGATATACCATAGATTAATTTAAGCGCAAACATCTTTTTTTCTCCGAAGGAAACGTTTATCTAAACGTAATATATTTCTTAAAGCTACACGATAATGATTCCGTGAAAGATGTTAGAAGATTGCTTCGTTTAATTCTGTGGCAAGATATTTAATCATGAATCATGATGCAAGCAAACATGTAAGGATAGAAGGAAAGACGGATAATTATTGGCTTTTCATTAGGGATAACAACGCTTTTCACTTAATAAAACAACTTTTATGGAAACTATTTCTTACTTGGTCGGCAACTGATGACATTCCTGCGTTTGTTTGAGATGAAGTCGAAAGTTTTACGGGGAAAAGTATCGATCAGTCTGAAGTCACTTAATTTGATTTGTGACGGCAGTAAAAATCCAGATAATTAACTGAAAGGAATTCGTTAATGCTGTTTACATTAAATAACTTTTTTCTCTTCCTTAAATGATGGCCGACGATGTTGGAAGGTAGGAAAATTTAATACCATTAGAATTTCAAAATTTTAATGCGTCTTTCCAGGAAGGGAAATTCTCATCTGATTTCTATTTAGACCCATCATGTTCATCTTTATTTTATAGCGGTAAAAATAATTCTCATTTCTTTCTCTTCCCCATCACTTTTTTTTGCATGCTAGATTGCTGACATGTTTCATGATAATTACGACGACGTCGTGACAGGAAGGAATAAGAAAACGTAGCGAAAATTTGTTTCATCTTCAACTCTTCCTAAGATGTCAAGGCAAAGCTTTTTTTCTTTCTTCCTTATCCCTCTTTCCCATCATCGTCACCGTTTGTATCCATGTCATTCATCTTTCGTCTTTCTTTCGCCGAACAATGATTTTAACATGGCATTTTTACGATTTGTATGCGAAACACGGAGAATAAAATGTGTGTGTATATGGCAAGTGATAAAATATTAAAGATGGTCCGATGGCGTTTTACATTGAGCCTCGTTTTTTATTAACACTTTGTTGGTTTTCACGTTAAACATCATAAAACGAGTGCTTGACGTCCATCAAGTGAACATTTTTTCCTCCTACGACGACGCTTCAAAGTTTGAACACGAACTTTTTCATGTGATAAAAATTAACAGTAACAGAAAAAAAAGTTTTTGGGTTAAAAAGTATCGAGGCTTGTTGACTTCACCATTTTCTTTTCTTCTCTTTTTTTTTAATAAAACCCGCTGTTTTGTTTGTAAAGTTTCTGTTGCCGTGGTCACGTTAAACAGGTTGAATGATTATTTTCTGTTTCTTCATTCTCTCGTTGGTCTCATGAAGGCTGTTCCAATTCGTGTAAACAACCAATCCAATCATACTGTCATGCTCCAGTAATATTCAAACTATGGAGTCGTGATGATTGACGTAAATAAGAACGAAAATTTGAACAATTTATGTAATAATTAAATTACTGTAATTATAGATGTATAATTAATGAAAATTCAATAAATTTCTGTTGCAGATAATTTCATTTCATTTTGATTTAATGCTTGTCAATCACACGAATTGTAATGGGAGATTTTTTACGTCTCATATTTTCCAATTTTTATCACGTCACTTGACGCATATCGAACTCTAGGACTAAAGCAAACTCTTTAAAATGTTGAAAGTACAGGATGGATGTAGAAATGATGTTGATGATTATAATGCATTTCATACAATAAAAACATATCACATAAAATATTAACGATTACTTATGACGGTATCTGTCGATATTTCTTGGGCAGTTTGAAGAAGGGGAAAAGGTAGCTAACGCAATACATTTATGAAAGTAAATAAAGATAAAATGTTGATGGTCCATTTACCTGATGTGTTTCTGAAGCTTCAAAAGTACTAATGCGAAATGATGCAAGTGAATGTACTTTCATCGTTCAACATCCCTGACATCATCATTTGAAAATTACTTCAATTTCACATCATAAAATTCTTAAAACACGGTGGAATCAAAAAGCATTCGTTGTTTCAGAATCATAAATTATCTTCAAAGTGGAAATTTTCTTTTTAACAATATTTTGTTTTTCCGCTTCTTTTTTTATTTTTTGTTTATGTGAAAAATGAGTTAAAAGAAATGAATGAAAAAAATAAAAAAACTAACAACACAATTCAACAAAAGATAAAGAATGAAAACTTCCATTGTTTCAGATTTTTATGTAAAAGCTGCAAGCGCAAGCGAAGTTTCAATGAAGACGCATTATCATCATATCTCTTTTTTCTGCACAGTTAAAGTTCGTTTACTGCATCTATTCAATTTACAACGAAGAGGAAAGCAATCTCCTGCTGATTCTGCTTTCGAAAAAAAAAAAAAACGAAACTAGAACAGAAACATTTAAATGAAAATTCCAGCAGCAATTAAAATACAAGGGAAGGGAAGAAAAAAAGCAAAATGAGAAACTGTTAATATGTGTTTGCTTTGGAAGAAAAAAAAGTGCTTGAAGGGTGAATGAAGAGATGAAGAGAAATGTGGAAACATTTTTGTTGCCTTAAACTAGCAGCAACATCAGAAATCATCTCTCTAGAAAACTAACATAAAGCACAGCATAACTTTTAAAGGCAAACAACAACAAAACTGAGATTTTTGCTTATCGGAAAAAAAATTAATTTCTAAATAAAATAAAAGAATTAAAATATTTACAAAACTGGTATAGAAAAAGCTTTTGCACCAAACTATTTCTCATGTTTGTTGTTGGCGTAGGAAAATTTTTCAAATTCTTCTTTAAAAATCGTTATCTCATGCTACATGTTCATCTGGCTGCTAAGGGAATAATTCACAAGTTTTATGGCTGAAAATTTAACTTTCATAGCAGTTTAATTATTCATTTATCATTTTCATATTTAATCACATTTGTTCAGAAATTCAATTCATTTCGTAATGGAGAGAGGGAAAAGTGATAAAGAGAAAGATTGCTGTGTATGCCTGTTGGGTGTTGAAATTGGACTTATTTTCATCAGAGGATTAATCAATGGCACTACATATAGCTAGAAGCAATGACTGATGCTAAGGATTTGGGTCATAGGAAGGTAGAGTTGACGATGTTTGTTCGGTTTCCTTTTATTTCTCAGTTTAATATCTTGGAAAAATGGCAAGAGAAAAATTATTATTCTTCTTCCACTTTTCCTTTGCAAAATACTTCAATATTTGCTTGAATTCGCTCAGATTGCGTTAGATTTCTCCATTAAGAGCGACAGACTCCAGATATAACTAAAGAAACTGTTTTCGCCAATGTTTATCGTAGCTTTTCAATTTCTTTCTTTTACTCTCTTCTTACGTTATTGATGTTTATTCACTGAATCTGCTCCCACCATTACAGCTCCCGAAGGAAATCTAAAAAAATGTTTGCTTTTGTCTGATGAAATGCAAAACTAGTTGCTGTCAGGGACTTTTATTTAAGGTGAATCTTTTTGACAGACAATATCATTTTTATGCTGTAAGAAAAATCGTTTGACAAGATAGAACACTTCTCGTGAAAACAATCTTCTTATATATAGATAAGCCTGACTTATATAAAATATCTAATCGCCTCCTGAGGCTATGAAGCTTGAATGAATAAAAAGTTTATAAACTTACCTTCGTTTCGAGGTCAAAGTATGTGATTTCGATGAGTAAATAAGCTGAGGTTTCAAACCCCAAAATTTGTTTACTTTATAAAGTTTTGAGATGAAATTTATTTGTTTTCCTTTTTCAAACTTTTGAATGAATTAAAAACTTGAAAATTTTCTCCCCAAAGATTTTCGACAAAATCGAAGATTTTCTTAAAATTTTCACTCATCCCTTGTATCATCTTGTTTGGGTTTATCTAATCATAAATACCATTCGTTCCTTCGTGTTTGGCTAAACATAGTAAAAGTAATTGAATTCTTTGTTACGAAGCTTTTAAGACCGGAAGAAATAAGATGCAACTTTATTTGAATATTGTGTATATGTGTGTGAGGGCTAAGAAACGATTGAAGAATTCTTTCCTCTTTACAAAGAAAAACTATTTGCAGAGAAGAAAAACTCTATGTTTGTCTTATCACTTCCTCGTTGGGCAACCACAAAAGAGGACTCTCAACTCTCAAAAAGCCACAGCAACAAATTTATATTTTTCAATTTTCTTTCTTTTCTATTGCTGAGAGTTAGTCAGAAAGTTTCTTATGTTCATTGTTAACGAAGTAGTAAATATAGAAATAAATATAGAATCTTGATTGAATTTATTGAAAATTCACAATCGTTCGAGCTATTTCCCGGAACTCTCTTCTAAACTTAAAAGTGCGGAAAATTTACATAATCTTCGAAGTTGATGGTAACTTCTCATACCATTGAAATTTTCATCGTTGATACAATAATTTTATTCATTCTGATTCAACGTGAAGAATAAAGAGAGGAAAAGTTTTAAAAATTTGGACACTTTAGAGACGGAAAAAGAGCTATGAGACATTTACATCATAACGAAATTATTACCATTTTTCATTGAGCAACTCACTAGCTATTCAACTTTATCTTCTTTATTTAACAATATGATTTCAACAAAAATCCCAAAGAAATAATTTCCTTACTCATACGTTACGTCATTTTATGTTTCATCACGCTAAGTCATACGTCTAGTCATACGTTATGTTTCTTACTGTATTCCATTACGTTAGAACCTATTGATACGCTACGTTACGTTCTATGATGAGATTTTGTAAAAAAAAATTATTGAATATAAATTTTATCGATAGAATTTTATGCTGAAATTTATCCATATAATATGTATCAAAGCTCATCTTTTCATAAGCTTGTCAGCTCAAAAACTCACCAATTTATGAAGATTCCACTGTACCATGGCTGCAATGAATTATTATCGTAAATTTCATTAGACGAAACAGTTGTTAGGGATTATTATTGTGATATTCATTTCCATTGCCACAGGCACTTTTGTACTTTTTCGGTTCAATTCGAAATGAAAGATAAGAGTTGATGGAAATTTGATTTATTTCCCAAACTCTTTCGTCTCTTCTTTATGAATACAGAATTTCATTCAATGACACTAAATTTTTTTTTCTTCTAGATGAATCGGTAGTCAACTAGCCCTTTATCAGTTCTCCGTCCACTTATGCTTTAAATATCAGTGCGGCGAAAGAATGATAAGGGTTCGAAAACACCATTGTGAATTGCGAGAATGAAATAATTATTTGCAATTTTCAAGCTTGACACAAACTTAAACTTTTCTGATCGTGACCTGAAATTGAAATCAGTTTTTTGTTTGTTTCCCATCAATGCAATGACGAAATCATGTATGAATGGGTGTGTGACGACTGATAACTGAATTTCAAGTTGAATCCATCCATTATCGGAATTCCACTAAACTTCAATTTTAAAGAATTTTTTTTAGGAAGTTTAGTCGTTGAGTCTTGAGTGAGCAAAAATAAATTTTTCCTTTCATGCACAAAGCAGTTGACTTCACTAAACTGATAAGGCAGATAACGAAACGAACTGTTAGTGGCGACTGTGGTTGTGTGTTTGACAAAGATAACGTTGAGCACGAAATTCCAATACACAAGCAGCACAAACAACTCTCTTTGATAAATAAAACTTCCATATTTCTATACCAAGTGAAGTTTCCCTTTTGCAATTCTCACATCTGCTTACCAGATTTCTTATGTTCAATGTGTCCAATGTCGACATCTGAAAAAGATTTAGAAGAATTTTAAACAATTTTATTTCATTTTTTTCACTCACACACTTATTAATGGAAAAATTGTGTAATATCATTGAGTGCTCCTTTCTCACTTCTTTTCGCTTGCTTGCATGCATATTCTTTTTATGCTAAGCCCGGCAAACGATAAGAAAGACTTTTCACTCAACACGTGCTTGCTTTTCCACAAAGATATCGTGAGCTAAAGAAAAATTCCCATCATCTTCATTCACATGAAATGAATCAAATATGGACAATATTAAAGATCGTCTGACAGTTTATATTTAATCAAACAAGGGAAGTGAATGATTTAGTGTTGCGTTGGATACTTGCGAGAGAAAAATAGGAAAGAGCAGCAATTTCAATAATTACTCACACTATACAGCGATGAATGATTGGCTTTTTGCGAGACTCTCTGTTCGGCCAGCATGCAATATTTCGCTTTATTTTTCGTTTTGTCTTCTTTTTTGTTGCCTGAATTTTATTCACACACATGTGCTCCAAAATCATGAATATTTAATGATATTTTTATGGATACAAAAAGAGAAATAACAAGATAGATAGATAGATACTCTTTTAATTTATTGTACTATGCAACTCTCTATGTTTAACTCGCTCGTAGCGTGACTCAAAAATTGATTAAAATATTTTTAAATATTTATAATGCTTTCTTTTGTACACTTTGAGATATGAGAGAGACATGACTCGTTCTCGAATGAATATGTGCGTGTGTGTGTAAGTTGGATTTATATGGAAAAAAGCATAGCAAGAGATATTTTATGATGGATTGGATTGGGAGAAAAAAGTGTCATGAATACACATAAAAGCAATTAAAATGCCTTTCTCTCCCTCACTCTCAGATGTTTCACAACAAAAATAGCAATAAAAATATGGAAAACGCGCGTATTATATTTATCTCTAGACTTCAATCGCTGCTTCTCGAGTTGATGCCTTTTTTCCTCCTTGAAAAGAGTTTTGTGAAAAAGTTTAAAAACGATTTTCAAAGCCTGATGCATTTTTCTTTCTTATGTCGTTGTTTGCTGTTAACGAAAATCAATATACAATAAATATTTTTCGATGTATCAGCACTGATAAAAACGGATTTTCGTTGTGTTTATGTTGGATCAAAACCACACGAAAAATGCTTCTCATTTCTTATCTCATATCAAGTTGCTTATATTTTGTGCTTTATCTCGATTGTGTTACGATATTTTCATATTTATATTAAATAAACGAAAGACTTTGCTTTTTGTTTCATTTTATGAGAATTTAAATTTTAAAGTATTTTTTCGATATGTTGTGGCACTTTTGGGGTTTATAAAGAATAAGACAGAGAAATTATTCATCTCCTTTGTTTGTATAAAACATTGACATTATTCACAAACTACTCCCCTCTTAAAAACTTTTATTTCTGTGAAGTCCAAGTTCGACACATTTCCATACAAATCCATAAATAAATTTTTCGCTTTTTAAACTTCAATCGCAAGCGGATTGAAAAGGAAATTACAATTGTAAATTTTCCAAAATAGCAGACGACCCGCTTGCCCTTGTGCTTCACTTCTAGATATTTGTTTAAATTTGAATTCGATGCATAGATTATTTATGTTGATTACGCTATGCTTTGGGAAATAACTTTTGACACTCGGCGTTTGTCTTTCAACCGATTTATGCCCTGAATGAAGGAGTTCACATCCATTTAACATATTGCGTTGCGCTTCCACACAAACTCATTAAAATTTTAATCATATTAGCGTTCATTTATGTTCACTGTCACTCAGTCTTATACATAAAACAACATAACAGCGTACATGTAGAAGAGAACTGAAACGCTTTTTAAGTTTGCATGATTGAGAAGAAAAGGGACAAAAAAAACCCCAATGAATCAGAGATGATTTTGAGAGAATGAAATTGTCTTCTTCTTGTATGAATTTCAACCATAAGCAGCTATCACAAAAAAAAATGGCAAAAGGTTTACAACATAAGACGCAAAGACACAAAAATGACACAAACTCTTAACTATTATTACTTCCAAATGACGAAACATGATGTGACTACAGACTAACAGATTGCTAGCTTCTCAAAACACGAAAAAACATTAAAATAAAAAGAAATCTTCTTGAAGGGAACAAAAAAGTTGTGAAAACTTTTTTCTCTCCTTGTTCGTTCAGTTTTTTTTTGTCATGGCTCTTAAACTTTTAAATTCTTGAATCTTCAATTCAACTCGTTGAAAACATTTACCAACTCTCTTCTCAAATACAAATACATCACGTTTTGATGGCTCTATTCGGTCATATATTGCCGCTAGCTGCTTTTACCGCGTTTTAATGTTCTAATTATTTAGAAATTGCGTCGTAGCCATCGTGGAATCTTTACTGCATAACAATGATGATGAATCAAGGAAAAAAATTTATGAAATCATAATTTCCCTTGCAATATAATTTACGACAATCTCTCATTCTGTTTCATTCTCGTCTGTTGTTCATCCTTGCAAAGCAAAAGCAGCAACAAGGAAAAATAGCAAAGAAGGAGACCAAAGCGATGATACCACTACAACTACAAAGAAACTCAAACGTCTGATGAATGTTCTCTGGTAGGATCGAATAAATATATTTAAGCATAAAGGAAGGCGAATTGAGAGACATGCAGGGCAAGAAACAAACATCTGGAGAAATAATAACAGTATGAACAATATGGAAAGGAAACTATTCTCATCATCTAATACATCACAAGCCCAACAGCAAAACATGTGTGTGAAACAGAAAGACGACAAGAAGAAATTGAATAAAAGCTGCAGAAGTAAAGGAACAAAATATAATAGGAAATGTTGGATATTTACAATAAATGTTCGGATGAAGGCGACTTGTTTTCTTCTTTAATGTTTAAAGGGAGTTTCAAAGCAGTTTCATTAAAAATTTCTCTCTTTCATTCCTTTTTTATCTTCAAAGCAAAGCAATTGTCTTTTAAATATTATTTCATAATTCCATGTCCTTTTTTTTTCTTGCAAAATTATTTAAATCATCAAAAATTTGTTTTGTTGTTTTCTCATTTTTATTCATTGCGTTCTGTGGTCATTTTATAAATGAAAATATTTTTATGTTCAGTTTGTAGATATTTTAATAGCACAAGAAAAAATTTAAGCACCAGCATTTATTCAATTTCACGAACTGATGACATCACGGGTTTTTTTATTACATTTTCAATAACTCTTTGTTTGTAGTTTAACTAGGAAACTGGGCTCGTTTATATTAGGGGGAAATTCAATCAAACGATGATAAATTTAATTTAGGATTGCTTCCGTTATTTCACTTTTTGTGATTCTGTTGCACAAACTTGAGCTATGATATTTTGGATAAATAGAAAGGACAATTAAGTTACAAACCAGCATAACAACTCGTCCAGTTACGCACAATTTTTATCAATACAAAACTTTTGAATGCTGTGTTAGGGAGAATTGAATCATAAATTTGGCCTTTTTTCTTTCTTTCCTTCTCATCTCAACAGAAATAACACATTAATATTGATTTGTTCACGAAAACAATCATACAAAACACGCAAAACTCCCGGGCCTTGAATCTCTCAATTTCATTCGATCTTTCACTTCAATAGAGAAGTGTTCGAGTTTTTGTAATGTGTCGCAATCGAGAATGGAATTGAAAGGGAAGAATTTAATGATTTTATGCTATTCGCCCGTTGTTGTGTGTACACGACCAAACCAAATAGCATTAAATAATTTATTGTCTTAATCAATTTCAATTTATAAGTTAGTCTCAATTCACTCTCGCAGTCAGTTTGCATGCTTCTGAATGATTCGTGCTGTGTTGTTCTAGTTAATGAATTTATCTCCAGCCATATAGTTAGTTTGTTAGTTAGTATGTAAACTGTAACAAATACTCATAAAGTGACTGCATATTATAATGCAACATTTTAAGCAACATTGATAAACCTTATGCGATGCGATTTTATAATTTCATTAGAATAAATTTCCCCTCACATTTCTTGTTTTTATTTCGTCATTGTCGTAATCACAATGGAGAAAATTTAAAATGTCAACATAAAACGGAAATCAACGGTTTCTTTTTGTTGTTTTCGTAATGCGATTAATTGGCGACATTTGAGTTGAGCGACATGGCATGTTAAAGTTTTCAAGCAATCCTGGAGAGAGAAATTTTATGCTTCTTTTTTATGGGTCACTTTTCCAACATTAGCAAACCGCCACAACCTTTTTATTTATTTACTTTTCTCTTTTTTTTCGTTTTTAAGTTGAAAATGGAAGAAGTAACAACAGAACTTTAATTCTTCTTCCTTCGTTCTCCTAACCGCGTAATCAAACACAACTCGTGCATATCAATTTTAAAAGCATAAAATTTCAGATTAGTAAACATAAATATTTTCCTCATCGTCTTCATTATTCACATTTTTCAATGTCGAACACAATTTGTGAAAATAATTTTCATCATGAAGAAAAAAAATTGAAATAAAAGAAGGCGAGTGAGAAAAAGATAGAAAAAAAATCAGAATTCATAAACATTTAATTAAGTCCAAATAAACAAATGGAAACGAAAAGAAAGCACTTGAGACTGCGTTTGGTTTAGTTTGAGAGTGATGATCGTACGATGTTGTAATGTAAAGTTGGCTGTATGTTAAGTGATGATTATTTTCTCTCAACTTTTAGATTTATCGAAAGGGAAACCCATAATAGTTAATGCAACAAATTAATCTATACATCGCATCACATGATCTGTAAGAGTCCCCCCCCCCTAATGTTTCATCTTCAACCAGATGATGAGAGTAGAAAGAAAATTATTCAATGCCCTCTCGTTCGTAAACCCACAGCGAACTAATGACGTCGTCAATGACTTTAGTTTTCTATGTTCTACATACTTAGTTCCATATGTTTAACACATCGAAACCAACAACAAAATGATTCTCATACATGATGATGATTATTATTTCGGATTTCAATGACTTTAATTTAAATTAGGTTGCTTCTTCCCGTCTAAAATCATGTTATTGCTATCATTATATAAAATGTATCCAGCTTTGTTTGCTATCACGAATATGAAACTTTAAATTCGCAATTTCCCTCTAACTTTTATCTCGTTTGGTGTCTAATCAAACATTAATAACGAAGGGGAATTTGTCAATTTTGCGACTCGTATTCAATCTCTTATTGTATACTCTATACCCATACATGACAAGAATAAATGTTAGTAATTTTAGCTCGTTAGGACCGTTCTGTGATTTTTCTCTCTCTTGTATTAAATTATATGCCATTAACACGACTGATCCTTGTTATTTAACCTCAAATTTTACAATACGAAAAATGATTTTTCTTTCGATTTTTCATCACTTTTTTTTTATTATTCTTTTGTTGTCCTTTTTACCCTGTCTGATAGCGAGATGACTTACGTTCTCAAGCACACATATAATCATTTGTAACAAATTTTCATCAAAGTTCTTTCCCCCTACAGCCTCTCATTGGCCCCACAAATAAAGGTTGGGAAAAGGTTATCATGAGTGAAGCTGGTGATGATGATGTTTGTATAGCTGGACCCCGAAAAGTCATTTTGAGAATTTTAAATTATTTTCTATGTTCATTTATGTACTCACATCCGTTTGCTTCAATGATTCTCTAACTTTACCATATTGTTCACATTCTGCCTTGCATTCTGCTGTTTTTCTCTTTCTCTTTCATCTTTATGCTTTTTCTATTATTGTTATATGATGCAATCAATTATTTTACATTTAATTATTTTCAACAAACGAACACTTTGCATTTAATTAAAATAATAAGGAATTTTTATTTTTACTTCTCCGAATGCAATAAAAAGCGGAGATGAAAATGATTCGTACCACGCTTTGAAAAGAATAAGAAAAGAGGAAAAATTAAATAAATTTTTTACCCTCTTAAGGGGGGAAAATAAGGTGGAGAAAAATAAGAATAAATGGTAACAGCCGCGAGAGGAGAAACAGAATTTACGGACGAATAACTAATGCTTTGATAACAGGAAATAATTTTCTTTTGTTCTCAATTGCGCTTTTTTAATTCACAACTTCTTCCTTCTACACTTTGACACAAACTGAATAACTGTACTCGAGGATGAATCGCAGCGAGTGATTTGTGAGAGGGATTTTCGAAAAAAGCAATGGAAAATATGAGCGTAATAGTCATAAAAGTGAGCGTTTTGGCAATGAAACACATTAGCAGCAATATGGGAAGTTGGAAAACTTTTCAGCACGATCTTGTTGAGTTGTAAATAAGCAGTAAAATTTTGGAAGGTTTTTAGGAAAAGTTGAGGGCTTCATTAACATTTGAGTTGTCTATTAAATTTCATAAACCAATTGTGATAGAAAAATTAATTTCGAAAAATATATTTGAGAATCAAAAGAAAGAGAAAAGTTCTCTCCATTTCGAAAATTTACAACAAGTTTTTCAAGGGGTTGTTCAGTGGCAGCTGGAATGGCAAGAACTCTAAGGTCCTTTGAAAATGGGTTGAATTATTAAAGTTTTAATGATTCTTTTGGGATTTTCAATATCAACTTTTTAGTTTCATTGAGAAACAGAAAAAAATTATTAACAAGAAAGTTGTCACAACTACCATTCATAAGAACATCTCAAAAGTTCTATAAATGAACAACCCCTTGAAGTTTCTCGAGAAGTTGTTAAATCACTCACCGTCAGTATCTTCTTCTCTCGTTCTTTCAAGCCTTGGTTCAAGCACTCGTTGTTTCTCCCTTTCTCTTTCCATCCCTTCAACTTCATCCAACCGCAAAAGTTCAGAATAATTCGCAGTAGCTGTAAGGAAATAAAGTGAAGTTAAAGAAATGAACAACTAACGCGAGTTGTTGAAAATAAGATAAATTTTGTTATTCGCTTTTATGTTCCTCACTTTTCCATAAAATACTTTCATGAAAAGTTTTTTGAGGAAAATTTCTATTGTTCAATGGTGAAAAGATGGATAAAATGATTCATAAACGAAAATTCTCTTTTTCATTTTAATGACGACATATTCACTAACTTTGAGAAAACTATTTTCAATTGTTTTCCATCTACTTAATTTCATTATCGGAACAAACCAGAACTCCACCCACAACGTCATGATCTGTGCAACTAAATTAACATTCTACTCAGTTTAGTTCGTTCGACAATTTCATCGTCTTAAAGACGCTTAGTCGTTGTTCCATTCAACGATGTCTGCTGCTAAATAATTTAAGCGATATCATTTTAATTCAAATGAAAAGCACTTTTCTCTCCACTCTTCTCGTATTTAGAGTTTTCTCCTTCCGCATTTCCACTTTTCCTTTGACTTTATTCGTCAGACTCTGATAATTTTTTGTCTTTTTTTTCGTTTCTTATTCCAATCTGCCAACGAAGAAATTAAATTTTGATGCTCTGAAGCTTTTCATGTCTTTCTCGTCGTCGTATCGTTTAGGTAAATTTTCTCAATGATTGGAAAAATTCCTTTTTGCACTTCTGTATCTTAAACAGTTTACCCTGCCTCCTTTCTCTCGCTTTATCTTTTCTTTCGCATGAATTTTTCCCCATCATTAACTTTGAGTAATTAATTTTCACATAATTCAAGGAAAGACGTTCATGTATTCGGTTAATCCTTAAACAAGGTTTGCACTTCGATGTGCTTACTATGTTCACAAGTTGACGTGTTTGTTCAACATAAATAGGGAAGGAATCGTCATTGAAAGCTCCAATGTACTCAAAGAGAAACTTATAAATTCTTCTCAAGATTCTTTTTCATGTTTTTCTTTGTTTTGAACAGAAGTATTAAATTAAACTTTATGGTCTCACGCCCCCCACTTGGACAAAGAAAAGGAAAAGAAAGAAAAAAAAAACTTTTCTATTTAAAAAGCTGTTTCAGTATCCGTTCTTCTGAACGCAAAGTAAGAGAAGAAAAAAAAAGAAAAACAAATAAGAATAATAGCCCGTGCAGGTTGTGCTTATATCAAAAATTCATTAATCTTCATATTAGAAGCCTAATTTTATTTCTGAGAAATGGTGAAAAAGCAGAGGAAAAACTCATTAAAACGAAAAACTTTTCCCAAACTGTTGTAAAATTTTTCACGCGCACCTGCATTTTCCTTTTTCCCTTTTTGTTTCTTCCACAAAGCCGCGGATGATGTGAGAAGAAAAGGAAATTTTATGCCATTTAATTTTCAAGCTCAAATATTATTCTTGTTTCCCTTAAAACACTGGTAAACAATACTACACGACGCCTACGAGAAGAAAAAGATATAGAAAACAAGAGATGAGACATAAAAGATTGTGAGTGACAAAATTAGATTAGAAGAGGAGGGAAATTCCTAAAGGAATTTCGTCTGTCTTTAGGCTTTCATTTATGTTGATGTTTCTGTTCGCCTAGTGAAATTCAATATAATTTTTATGTATATCATACATCAGCAAACTAAGAGATTCCCAGTTGACTAATGAAAGTTTTTTCATCAAAATTAAGCTAGAAAATAATAACAAACACGTCCCGATGCCATTTTCCATTTGACAAACAACTGAAAATGAAAAAAATTGCCATTTAATTTCATCCGGAAATCACCAAAAAATACCTAACAAAGAATAATAAAAAGAAAGCTTTTTGGGTGTCGTGCTTTATCAGCTGATGAAAAATTTGTATCCCATGAATGTTGATTCTTTAAACAAATAAAAATTAAAAACTTTTCTTGTGTTTTTGAGATTATGGCAGATGATGTCAATCTGTGAAACAATTAAGGAATTGTTTACTTTCTTTAAGCTTCACACTTGTTCTCGAATTTAACTTTTACCATATTTATAGAAATCTAACAAAAGATTTAAAATCAAATTGGCGCACTGTAAAAGTCAGAAAACGATTTGGTAAATTGGAAGTGAAATAAGACAATGATAAATGTCGTAAATGCTTGTGACGGGCGAGCAGGCAAGGAGCTGGAAAATGGAAGAAATGGCTAATTGAATTTAATGTTTCCTATGCGCTGCAATTTGACCGAAAACTATTAAATGAAAATTCACTGCTCTTTTCAACTACAGTTCTCGCAAAGCACCTTTTTTCATATTTTTTTTCTCCCTTCGTAGTTTTGCTGAATTTGCGACAATCTCGAAGTCTTTTCTTTCAATGACAAGGATAAGGACTCGAATAGAAAATTGCGAAAAAAAAGAAATAAGGAAAGTGTTTTTTTGTGAGTTCCATTAATTTTGTTAATGGCGCGAAAAGCTGTAAAATTAACTGCAGTGTATCAAATGGGATTTTAATGATTCCTTTCTCATCTTGAAACGGTTGAATGTAAATTGTTTCACCCGACAAATTTTCCTTCCTTTCTGTGGCTTCTTCACCTCATTTCATATAAGTTTTCAAGAGAAATGTTTGACGTTTGCAGTCAATTCTCGCTTTTTGGCACTAATTAATATTTTTTCCATCATCCCAACGACTCTCGTTCGCATTTGTTACATTTGGCTTTTGCCAGTTAGTTAGTGTAGCAAAATACTGAAGATTAATTGTTTTTTTGCCTTTCCGCCAAACCATTTCCAAGTTAATTTTAATTTTCCGATATTTTCGATTTGCAAAAAGAGAAGAAAAAAAACTTTTTTCGTTCAGATGATTTTTGGCATTTTCCGATATTTCCATTGCTGTTGAAACGACCTCCGTTGTAATGAACAAATATTTGGATGAAGAGAGGGATCGTAAAGGCTCACAAAATTGAATCATTAGACTATTGAATGCTAAAACGTTTCCAATGCTCCGCCTGCCATGGGAAACTCGGAAAAACGTTTATATCGTCATTACTAGCTTTGTGTTACTCGCTTACTATGTACAAGGAAAAGAAATAATTTTTCTACTCGCTTTATGAAAGTCACCTAGTTTCTGTTATTAATTAAAAACTTTCACAATTCGAGCTAAAGTTGTGAGGGTGGGAAAATGGATACAACACGATGGGAGTTTTTTTTCGGTTCAACATTTTCCGCTTTTCTAATCATAAAAACAAATAAAAAAATTATTTTTCGTGAGCTGTTGAAAAATGTTATTGAATTATTGGCTCGAGCCTCGAGGCTCTTCATGTTTGAGTGAATTTGTGTTGGATTTGAAGAATGTTTAAGTGAACGTATTGGATTAAAATTGATTCAAAATTATCGTTTTTGAAGCGATATTGTGAATGTTTAATGATGATATGATTTTTAACGACTGTTAACAGACAGATCATGGGAGTTCTATTGATTTATGCATGCGTAGATAATTTTAAAAAATGAGCTTCTACAACCAACTCAAACCTTCATAACATTCGTTCTTTTGTTTGGTGTAGAGGTCTTTTTTCTCGTTATATGCCAACACTCCACTAGGTAAGCCTTCATAGTCAACTTTTCATACTTTTTTTTTTATTGTTCCTGTTCGCATTTTTATTTTATTTTATTTTTTCTTTTTTGCAGAAGGCAAAAATCAATATGATGATGGTGTGGAATCTTTTTTTTCCTTTCTTTCATCCAAAAACAATTTTTTTTTCATCTCTTGCTGTGAGTTTTCTTTTTCCAGCCTGAGCCTACACATGAACGAATTTTACGTTATATTAAAAGTATGCAAAATATTTGTTGTTGCTTTTATATTTATCGGAGTTTAGCGATTTCATGTGTCGCTTGCTAACCGAGTGTGGGAGATTTTTTTGGTATCGAGATTATTTTCAGAGGGAAGCTTTAGCTTTGTTGAGATTTTCTTTCGCTTTTTGCACACGACACAATTACGGAGAGAATGAAAGCAAAAGACGGAAGAAGTTAAAGTTCAACGTTCACGCATCCACGCTTGAAAGCAGTCCCTGATATATTTGACATCATTTCTCCATTTTCAGTTTGAGAATTTTTTTTTCTTTTCGTTTTTGCCTTGTTTCACGCAAACACACACATTTCTTATTCTCATGGCCATGCGATCCCAGCAATTTATTATATTTACTCCCCTTCGGTTTATCAATGCTTTTTGCTTGGTTTTCTTTTCTTCATCTTTTTGGCAACTGAGCCTAGTTAATAAATTTTATTTCCTCAATTTTCATTTCTTCTTCTGACGCTTTTTGCTCTCTCTCTTAGTACATGATATTAAATAAAATATCACCCTGTTGCTTTCTTTTACTTCATGACTCAAGCATTATAAAAAACAAAAACTTTTAATGATCTCAATATGAGTGGCGCGATAATTGAAAACTTTTGTTGCCACTTATCGATTACTTTCCAACTTTACCATCCTAATGAATTAATTAAACGAGTTCTAGGTCGGCCACTCCTTTTTTGGTGCAAATTAAATTGAACGACAGACCAAACGACCTGAATATTCACAAAACAAAAAAAGAAGCATCTGCCGATGATGTTAACATTCAAAGTTCTCTTCTGTCAAAGTTCATAGCCACACGAAGATTTTTTTTCTTCATTTTCATCATTGAGAAATGAGAGCGAGCAAGGAGAAACATTAAAAAAAAGTAATTTATTATCATGAAATTTCATGCAGTCGTCGACAGCATATTTAAAATGTCAAGCAAAGTTTTTATGATGAGTTTTTATGAATTGTTTGATATTTAATGGTTCGTTGGTGAATCTTCTCCATTCGTATCATTAAAACAGTGGCATTTGAAAAGAATTAAAAATTGAATGAAGTTAAAGCATTTTTTCTTACCTTTTTTTCTTTTGAGTGATGTGATGACAGGAAATTCAGCAGCTCGACAACGAAAGTATAAAGCAATCTTTGTACTTTCTTCTGATGGCCTGTAATAATGCAAAAGATTTTCCTTTGACAAATCGTAACAGTGATCATCATCTCGTCGAGAGCATCAGAAAAGAAGAATAAAAAATCTAAAGTGGCTTCATCTCGCTTCGAGGGATGGAAGAATGAAGGAAAAGTGAAAAAGATGCTAAAAACTTTTCCACGATAAGCTGTCGTCAAGCTGAGAAAATTTTTCATATTTATATCTCACTTATTGTTCACTTTGTGAAAACTTCCTTTCATTTCTCACATTGCACAACACTTCACGTTACTCTTTGTCAATTTTTTTTTCAAAGTTTTTAAACATTTTTTTTTGTGGCCACAAAAAGAAAATTTACGAAAAAATTTATTTACAAAATTTCAACCTTCACGCTACAGCACAGCACGGAGAATATTCCAAAAAACTCTATTCCATAAGGTTTTTATACCGCATGATGTTTCGGAGATGGAAAAATTTTCTCCCTTTTTCTTATTTGTTTGTGTGCGGAAAATTTGCCACAAACACATTGTTAACAGTTAGAGGAAGTAATGATTCTGCATGGTCGGAATTTTCCAGCGAATCACCCTGTGTGGATGTGTTGAGATTCGAATCATTTTCATGTACTTGTGTGTACGAGGATTTTCCACACGAAGCATTTTACAACGATCAGAAAATACTGAAAATTCCCCTTAGAACTCGGCTTCCATGAAATTTTACAGTTTCATGAAATGACATAATTTATGTCGAAAGGAAGGGAGATGAAGTTTCGAAGGAAAGTGCACTTTGTCCATCAAAGGCTAAACATTGAAAAGAAAACCTTGTCGTAGTTGATAAAGACGACGTCTCTCATCTTTTCTTTGTCTCCTTGTCATCAAGTAGATATTAATGACACACGAAAACATCAATTATAGTCCATTTAAAGAAGATTCAAGAGATGTAGATGAAAATTTTTACTCTCTTTGAGCGGAAACTCTTTCTCTCTTCTCATTGCAATCATTTCTGAAAATTGTTGCTTTAATTATTTATTTACAGTGTGTAGGGTGTTGGAAAAAAAACAGAAAGGAAACGAGAACCTTCCCGTTTGTGTTGTGAAAACGAAAAATTATCCACGATTATGGTAGATATAGGAATGGAGGATTTGTTCTCGGGTAAAGGCAGTCAGCAAACATGTCTGACATTAAAACTGATATTTAATAGTTTCTCATGTTCAAAGATAAAATCGAAAAGCACATTTTAATAGTTGTTCAACTATCAGCACCAGAAAAACGAAGAAGAAAGAAGGAAAAGAAAGAAATCATGTAACGATGATAGAATTTTGTTTCTATAATAAAATATACAACAGAGTATAAAGGATGTTGTTGTCAATACTCTGTTCAGAAGAACTTTATCCGATGAAAATCTAATAAAAGGTTTCTATTTTTCTCGTTCTTCTCCGAGACTATTAAGGAAGGGGAAACAAAGAAGTAAGAAAAATCCAGTTTTTGGTGAAATATTTAACATCTATAATATCTCTAGGATATAGTAAAACTTACTTCGATGTGTCGATGTTATTTTTAGAGAGAGAACAAATATAAAATCAATTTTTGTCTTTCATTTTTACACGGTGGTTAAGCTTTAAGGATACAAAAAAGCAATGCTAATATTATGGAATGAAATCTTAGATATGACGATGTCTTTATTACAACATCAACGATGAGCTTAAGCCTTTGAAGATTTCTCGTGACACTACCACAGATATCTTACCTGGCTTTCTATCAGTTATCGACATTCTCATCGAAACATATTTCCTGAAGTTTCTGTTTCATTCTCTATGCTGGGATTTGTTCTTTTCCATTTCAAAAAGATTATGAAAGTTTTTTCTTGCTTTTCTTTATTTCTTCCCTCTTGTCCTTGGTGGCACGATGAAGCAATGAAATCTTTTGAGACTTTGTTATATCAACATTGGAAAAACAATATGGGATGAGCCTATAGTAACTTGTTAATAGATTTTCGATAATCTTACTTGTATTCCCGATGCTTCTATCTTCCTTCAGCATTACTGACATTTTGAGGATTCGAAAATTTATTAGCGGTTTCAGTTGTGCCAAAAGCAAAAGCAGAAAAAATCTCGACTAAATCCTTTTTTGATTCAATTTCTTGCTATGTGTATGTATGTGGCTTTGTTGAGTTTCATGCTTGTCTCCCTATTGTTGTAAATATTCCTTATTTTGCATTATAGCGAAATGATTGAAAATTTTTCCATACTGCAAGCAGTTTTGGGACTTCATAATTCTTTCAATAAATATTTCTTGTGCAACTCTTGCCACAAGATTTGCGACTTGGCTCGCTCGCTTTTTCTGCATAATTTACATAATTTTCTTTCTTTCTTTTTCAACATTGTGGATTAAGACAAATTTATTATTTAGTGATGCACATTTGGAAGCACTTTTATATGCTTCTTGCAACAATTTTTCGAAAATGAAACATTCTTTTCCGTCTCTACAACTCTAATGTGAAACGACAAAGAATGCATTAAAAAACAACCGAAAAATATTCAGTGTCGCAACATAAGCCAACGAGAGAAAGATATGAGAAAGTGAGAGAAGTGAAAATCTTTTTTTGCGCGGTGAATTCTTTTCATAACTCTTATTTATTTATCGCACGGGAATTGATTCCCTTTCAAGGGAAGCATCCGGAAGAGAGTGAAGGGAAAGCAACAAAAAAAAAAGACTTTCATACAACATGCGACATCGAGATAGGTAAATAGTTGAATTATGTTATTATGATGAACGTTGCACATGTTATATGATACACTAAGAACATTATCCTCGCTTAAAAATGTTGAAATTGTGAAAAATGGTGGGGGTGAGTCACATTCTCTTATACATACCTAGTTTCATATTAAACACAATGGCGAGCATTAAAGCACATGGTACACTATCTACACACATACGGCTCGAGAATAAACATCCTTTCTCCACACAATATGTTGAATTCTGACAGGTGTTTCCACTGAACATTCCCTGATATTTCCGTCATATAAGCAGAGAGAAAAAGCAAGCGAGAAAAAGGAAACAAAATGTTAACTGAAAATCCATTAATGTCATTTGAGTTGTGTGTAGAACATTTTACATTTCAATTGAAGTTTCATCTTGTTAAGCATGATTTTTACAACTCCCTGAGAATACTTCAACTCTGATAAGAAATGAAATTCGCTTTTCGAGTGATATTTCGCATTCCATACTTGTTCTTACTTCCCTCTATTTAAATTAAATGAATAACAAGGATACATTCATATTTATCTACACATTTATAACAACGAAAGAAAATAGAAAAGCTTAAAAGTATTTTTGAAAAGGAAACAAAGTTGATTTAATTAAAATAATGAAAAGAAATAAATTTCATAAACTTTACTCCATGATGTCAACATCCGGTGGAAAGTTTCATGAATTGAATGTGACAGCATCGAAGTCTTGGGCATCATTTAAGATCATAAAAATATTCTTCTTTTCCTTCAATTTTTATTACTTCAATATAGATACACTTTGAGAAGAAAGTAGAAGGGCAAGTATTAAATTCCATGCATGTATTGATATCATAAAAATATATGTTTTCAACTCCTTCAGTGCTATTAAGAAAGTGACGGTATACGCAGTAGTGTCAAAAAGAAAATATCTTGTACTTTATTTTATTTCATTTTTTGCGGCAAGGCCCGCACTTTGAAAGGATACATCACATTCATCATTGTAATAAAAGGTGAACGATGACGACGAAAAACGATAAACCATCCGCTCAACATCGTACTGAAATGTTGTTTGCTAGGCAAAAGCAAAAGCAAGAGCACTAGCTGCTATCTACAATGTATCTGAGAGTGAGAAAAAAGAAAACAACGAAATAAAAAAATGAAAATCTTTGTCGGCAACAACATGCTGCTGTCGATGCGAATAAACTATTTCTGTCTTCTATCGTCTTTTCAAACATAAATGAATTGATTGGCTCAGCATGATGTCAGAAATTTTAATAAAAAGATTCACAAGGGGAAAAGACGAATAGGCAAATCCTTTTCTTCCCGATCGAACTTATAAAGGGATATGAAATGAAAAATCAAAAGGAAAATATTTTCCTTTTTCTTATCAAAAATTATTAATTTTGTCAATCGTGTTATGGGAAAGAAAAATAAATAAATATAAAGAAGGTAACATCGTTAAACGCTGTAAAGTGTTTATCCTGATAAGTTATTTATGCGCTTTCGTCTGGTTAAAGATCTTCCGCTTGGTTAAGTGTGGATAAACCAGGAAAGAGAAATTCTTACTTCCATTAAATAATTGAACATTCTTTTCGATTGAGAGAAGTTTTATTGTAAAAGTGCAACGTGCAAAGGTCTGTGGAAATGAAAAACTTTATTCCTCCAACTCTCTTAACTTGTGCAAATGTTTTATTTTGTAAGCAGTGGAAAGAGTGAGTGAAACAGCTTCAAACGCTTTTCTCTAAAGAATGCAACGCGATAAAATAAATAAAATTGAAAAGGAAAATAAAAACCACAAAATAAAATAAAAAATTAAATTCCTTTATTGCAGCTAAGAAGCTAAGTCCATTAGAGTGGAAAGAATCTTTGGATATTCTGCGGGGTTTTCCTTATCCTTATTCTTCTCCTTTTGAATTTTTCATTAAGAAAACTTTGCAGTGCATTTGGTTGAAAAAGCTGGTATCAGTATGTGCATCTAAGAATCTGAATGAAATGAATTTGAACGAGTGTAGGAAAAGTTTGTTCATGAAAAAGCTTTTAGGTGGAAGCTTGTTAATTTCTCGAGAAGGCATTTTTAGTATAATTTATGCTTGCTTTATTGTGTTCTGGAATACTTAGCAGTAGGTAATGCAAATGTAGACTTGGGTATGTTAATAGAAAATTCAAAAAAATTATTATTTACTTGAGAGAATTTTAGAGACAAAAGTTTTTAACAGAAATAATTTTAAAATTGTTTAAAAAGTTGAAATAAAAGAAAGTCTAATAAAATAAGTTGAATCAAGGGAAGACTTTCCCTCAGCTCTACACACACTTAAAGTAATTTGTATCATGTAAATATATCATTTCCATTTGGAAGAGAAAAGTTTGTGAAATTTGTGTTTTCTTTCGCCTCGTTTCCTCGTTTCTTATAAGACCATAAAGAGAACATTTCAAGTGTACGTTTTTACCTGCGCCCCTTATGTTTTCATGCATTACCCATATTCCTTCTTCTTTAGAGCCTCCACATAAATATCCAGAAGAAGAAAAAGAAGAAAGTATCTAGTAGATAGGTGTACGTGCTGGACATCCCAGAAAGACAATCTTCTCTCAAAGTTCATTTGAAGTTTGAAGACACGTCGAAGCTGAAAGAGGGATTAAAGATGAAAATGAATTCTCAAAAGTCAAGAACTCGAAAATACAGAGCCAATGATGTTTGGGAGACGACGAAAGAGATAATTAAATTTGCAGGGAGAGAAGAATGGGGAAAATGAAAGTCAATTTGTTTGCTGCTTGAAAAGATTACTAAATCGGATTATCAAATTATCACAAACGACTTGGGAAAGATTTACACGCAGAAAGACAACAAATTCTTATCCAATCATCTTCTCAAAACCTTCTCCTACCTTTTGCACATTTTTACTCACATCATCTCTTTATCAAAAATAAATAAAACATGCAACATCGACATCATAGTGATTATATTTATTTACAAGGCAAAATAATTTTCTCCCAGAACTACTTTACTTGCGTGATGCGTCTTGATGAAATATTTTCTTTTCTACTACAGTGTTGTCTTTCCTTTCTGCCTTCCATCAGTGATGGAGAAAAAGGTTCGATTTTTCTTACGACGATATCAACAACGTCTAAAAAAGAAAAGTAAAGTCCCTAAAGGAGCAACACATGAAGTAGCGTCGAGTCGAGAGGGAAAATGTAAATTTTTTATAAGAATTTTTTTTCTCTTCGTTTTCAATTTCAATTATTGAAAATAAATATTTTTACACACTCACAACTCTCGCACCAGGTCATGTAATGTTGATACTTTCATTCTGCCAAATTTGCAATAAAATAAATTTCAGAAAAGAGAAGACGAACAAGTTTATTTTCGTTTTCAGTTTGAAAACAAGAAGAAGAACCTTAAAAGGTGGTGTAAATGTATTTGACATTATGAAAATTTATTATCAACAATTTACTTGTATACATCACATTCGAATCGATATTAAAAGATAGCCTTAGAGACGCNTTTACTTTGTAATTCTTGTTTTTCCGGGGGAGAAAAATTTGCTCATTATTTTTACACACAAAGGGACTAAAATTGGTAAAAAGTTTTTATTATTTTTTTCTTTATCTTCTCAATAATGCATGGTTCCTTTATACACATTTAATAAAAAAAAGAATTGTTCATCATGAATGCTTAGCCCATGTTCGCACATGTCTCGCGTTATGGTAAGTAAAACCTATTTTTTCATTTATTTTTTTCGTATTAGGAGTTTGACTAAAGTTACTTATGAGTCAGTTGACGGGTATGAGTACCGATCCTTCTGATGAACAGATGCGAAATAAAAAGAAAGCGGTGAAAATTCTCGTGAAGATTTCTCAGTTTGTGTTTTTCTTCATCATCATCATCAGTAATGGGTAGAACGAATTGTTCTCGACAAGTATGTCCGTATGACAAACTTGCCCGTGATGAGTTTTTATTTTCTTCTCAACACTTATCTCCAAAATGGAAATAGAGTGAGAAGTAAACTCGTACCACACCCTACTGATGTCTCCATGATGATGGAAACGTCAGTTTAACCTGCATAATTTTAATGTGTGATTAGATTTAGAATTTATAAATTTTGTTAAGTTATCCTGATTACATTTGAAGAAGTTATAATGTTATCATTCTCAACTTATCAAAGTTTAAAAATATTTTACAAATTTTGAATTGAAGTATAAATAGTTTTCTTGCACTTTTTTAAATAACGGGAATTTGATAAGATATGAAATTTCGGAAAGCAGGAAAGAGAAAATTAGCAAATGAATTTTTTTTATTCATTGTTATTATTTTGTGTTATAAATTCTCGTATTTAAGAATTACAGAAGAGTTTTAAAATTTTTAGGGCAGTTTTAGGAAATCAAACATGTGTCGAGCAATTTCATTGTATTATATTTCCACGAATCGTTATCAGTATTTTTTCCGCGTATTGAATTCAACGTTCCGTATCTTTCTTCATTTGTTCTCTAAACGTTCTCTGTAAGATTCTAAAACACTTTAATTAAATTTTTTAGCTTTTTTTTTTCATTATTTTGTCGATTGGATCAAATTTTTATGTTTTTAAACTTTCATTGACTTTCATAGACTTGCACTGTTTTTTATTAGAATTGAAACAGGTAAAACAATTTTTGTTCATCCTTGAAGGACAAAGCGTGGTGTTTTATTTTTTCAAAAATTTAAATTGACTTTTTGCTTCAAAAATGAGTGGCTTCATACTGAAGCACACCAAAAATTAACAGAAGCTGACTTTATACAACTTTCACTCTTGTTTTTCACTTAATCTTTGATGTTTTTCATGAAATAAAAAATTATTTTTGCGAGAGCTCAGATTTTATATATTTCACCCATGCAACAGTCAGGAACATGCATCGTTCTCAAAAGTCAAGAACTCGAAAATACAGAGCCAATGATGTTTGGGAGACGACGAAAGAGATAATTAAATTTGCAGGGAGAGAAGAATGGGGAAAATGAAAGTCAATTTGTTTGCTGCTTGAAAAGATTACTAAATCGGATTATCAAATTATCACAAACGACTTGGGAAAGATTTACACGCAGAAAGACAACAAATTCTTATCCAATCATCTTCTCAAAACCTTCTCCTACCTTTTGCACATTTTTACTCACATCATCTCTTTATCAAAAATAAATAAAACATGCAACATCGACATCATAGTGATTATATTTATTTACAAGGCAAAATAATTTTCTCCCAGAACTACTTTACTTGCGTGATGCGTCTTGATGAAATATTTTCTTTTCTACTACAGTGTTGTCTTTCCTTTCTGCCTTCCATCAGTGATGGAGAAAAAGGTTCGATTTTTCTTACGACGATATCAACAACGTCTAAAAAAGAAAAGTAAAATCCCTAAAGGAGCAACACATGAAGTAGCGTCGAGTCGAGAGGGAAAATGTAAATTTTTTATAAGAATTTTTTTTCTCTTCGTTTTCAATTTCAATTATTGAAAATAAATATTTTTACACACTCACAACTCTCGCACCAGGTCATGTAATGTTGATACTTTCATTCTGCCAAATTTGCAATAAAATAAATTTCAGAAAAGAGAAGACGAACAAGTTTATTTTCGTTTTCAGTTTGAAAACAAGAAGAAGAACCTTAAAAGGTGGTGTAAATGTATTTGACATTATGAAAATTTATTATCAACAATTTACTTGTATACATCACATTAAAAACATTAAATGGTTTGAAAACAAAGTTACTCTTATACTTTTTACTTGTCAATGACAAGTAAAAAGTATAAGAGTAACTTTGTTTTCAAACCATTTAATGGACAAGTAAAAAGTATAAGAGTAACTTTGTTTTCAAACCATTTAATGTTTTTAATGTGTTTACTTTTTACGTGATCTCAAACATCAAATTATTCAATCTGTATACATCACATTCGAATCGATATTAAAAGATAGCCTTAGAGACGCAGGGATTACGAAGGCGACCATACCTTCGCGGTTACCTTATCACTTCTCACATTTCCTCACAGCAAGCAACTCGTTTATCTCCCAAAGTATTTCTTTTTAAAAAGCATCGAGCAAACTCCATTTGAAAAATTGGCATTGAACGCTTTCTTTTTCCCTTTCTTTTATTTATGTCCATGTTTGGTGGTTCGTTCGCCTTCACGCCACTGATTGATGATGACTCTATTAAAATAAATATCACTTCACATCGTACATTTATCTATTCTCGAACAAGCCGCCCTTAATATTTGCGCAATCATTTGTGGAAAAGCGCTCGTCATAAATCTATTCAATGGACTTTACTTTTTTAAATTACGTGCAAATGATTCTTGGATCGCTTTTGATTTCTTAACTTTCTGCTGACCTACTAGAAATCAAATCAAATGAAAGAATAGTGGGAGTGAGTGAGTGTGCGTTAGAGAGGGAAAGAGACAGAGAGATAAAGATTCAATCTCAGTAATATTGAAAAGCAAAGATTTAAGCTATTGGAGAAACAAATAAGGAAAAGAATTGTTTAATGCTTCGACAACAGTGAAGTGAGTGGAAAAGTGAATTAAGAAGAGTGAAATGAAGACATCATTAGAGCTGAAAATTATCATTATTGTATTTTCCATAATATTTCCGACATCTCAGGTGAGTCAATTTAAGAAACTTTTCCCGTTTTTCATTTGAAAAGTTTGCCAATTACTTTGGAAACAACTTCCTTCACTTTTTCCTTCGATAAATTTCCTTTAATCAATTCCACATCACGTCGTTTCCCTTCACGTCTTCGCCAAGAACCTTTCGTAGATGTTTTGCTTTTCCTTAACGCGACATAAAGACAATTTTTTTGTTGGCTTCGGGCAAATCCGCGGCTTTCTTATTATCTCATACAGATGCTTCTGATTGTCTGACTCATCTGGATTGCTGTCGATTGTCAAGTATGAAGAGATCTGTAAAAATATTCGAGACAGATTTAAAAGCAGCACGTAAGGATGAAATGAAAGTCTTTTTACGAAACAATGATGATATCAATTATACAGTTCAAGTGAATAAATCTCAGTAGTATCATCAATCATTGTATCTCATCCGGAATGTTTTTAAAACGTAAACGGCGACACAAAGCGAGGACTAAAAACCTTCACAAATCGATCAAGCGAAACGAATCTCATGAAACAGAATCCACCCTCGCACTATTATCATCCCAACCCTCGACCCTCACCTTTGCTCATAAAAGTGAACTTCTCATTCTTCTCAGCTAAATGATTTTGATTTGCGAAACGAATCATTGAGGGGGAAGACACAGCCGCGGATAATTATCGTGCTTTAAATGATGCTTGGTAGATTTTCCATCCCACACCCAAAATATTTGTTGTGCCATATAAAACCGTTGTTTGATAAATGGATCTCAAATATTTGATCAACTCGCAGCTTCATAGTTTTAGATTCTCCCTTTTGATTGATTGTTTTTTTTTCATGTGCTGAAAAGAAGAGAAACAAACCCATCGCCCAACAGACATATCCACCAGACTGTCTGAAAATGCTAGAAGGCAGTGAAGAATTTAAAAATCATTTTGAAATCACCTCAAAGAATTTTCTTTTTTGTATTCTACGTGAGAGAAAATTTATTAAGAACTGTACGGAAATCATGTACCCGGAAAATTTTACATTATTTTCACTTGAATTGAAAATTTTTCAAATTCATTGTTGCTTTGCTGAAAAGTTGATTTCTGAAATGAAACAAAAAAATCTTTTTTTTTGTCATTATTCAGCTTTTAGAATCCCTTTTTCATTCTTCTGGTATTAAAATCACCAAGAATTATGCAAAACAACGCTTGAAACACAAAAAGTTAAACATTTTTATAAGGATTTAAAATATAAAGAAGGCAAACATGCCCGTAGACAATGAAATGACGCTTTGATGATTAAATGTTGAATGGAACTGTCCACTTCTGCCTTTTGTTTGATGCGAGTTTTCCCTTCTTTTGTATTCCAGTTTTTTGTTGAGTTTCTTTAAAAGCTTACATTATGCTCATTTTAGAATAATTATTCTATTTTTAATTGAAACTTCTTATGTTGGGAAGTTGTAAAAGCATTGATCTAACATTTTCCTGCAGACGATTTGAAAGTTTCGTTACTTGCAAGTTGTTACTTTATGCATAAATTGTAATCTTCAAAAAAATCTCCTTTTATATTCAGTAAGTTGATATTCTAACTTCTCTCATTTCCAACGTAAATTTAAAAACTCTACGATAATTAAAAAATTCTTTAATTACTTTCCATTCATCGTAAATATTTTCTTTTTCCATTTCTTTGTGCGACATTTTATTATGCGATGAAAAAAAAAAATCTTCTTTCAGCACAGCATTTAAAAAGTCTGGAGAATAAAAAAATGTGCAAAAGGCTAAAGCTGTATAAAAAATGTCTTAATTCACATGTTCATGAGCACACAAGTGCCCGTTTAAATTTACAATGTTTTCAAATGGTTCTTTTAATCCTTGTTGCTGTCGCACTCCACTCTATGCTTTTATATGATGCTTTTCGTTTGAAATTAATTAAAATTTGATTTGATATTTCATTCACGTTTTCGAAACTTAATTGTGTCGAAAACATATTTTCTTCATGCAGAAGCATAAATTTTAATGTAACGGAATGTGTGCAGTTTTTCTTTCGCGTTCTTTCTTTCTTTCCCTCCTTCCATTCTTTTTCATGCTTTATTTGATAAATAAATTCGTAAATAAAAAAATGTACATGAAAATTACGATGCCATGCTGACCGACCTGGGATGAAACAAGAAACAAAAGCTATGAAGCTGCTGTTCTGTTCGCTTTAGATGCATTTGCGTTACACGTTTCACGTTCTCGTCGAGTAATAAAAGAGATTTTATATCTAAGCGAGCGAGCCTCTCAAGTTCCATGTTTTCGTTAATAAATTATAAGTCGACGAATATTTAGGAATCAAGATGGATTTGTCAATATTTGTCACCTAATTTATGACTGTCCCTCGACAACAGTAAAGCAAATGCTGACAATTACTCAGCATTAGGATTTAGCTATTTTTTATTTAAGCAAACTAACAAGTGAATCAAGAAGTGTTAAATTCAATTTGAATAGAAAACAATTTCGGTAATGAATTGCGACATGAATTTTAAAATTTTATTATCTAACAAAGTTGAAACTTATTTTATGATTGCAATTCCTCCATTCACTTGAATATTAGAAGCCAAGTGATCTTAATTGAAGGTTGCGATAAAGATCACTATTACCAGGATTATGATGTGAGTGCAGTTTCCTTCGTTTTATTTTTGCTGCTCTTGTTTCTCGATGGTGGCTTGAGATGGCTGAAATCAAAGAGTTTTGATTTGGTCTGGCATCAACCATAAGAAAGATTAAAAAGATAAACGCAATCTGGAAGTAGTTTCCAATTAAATTTAATTCTTTTCAATTTATTTAAACTTACAATCACTGAAAATCTCATCACTGATGCACGCAATGAAGACTCAAATCACAACTGATTGAAATATTTCATAATTTAAATTTATAGTAAGATTGACATTAAATCAGATGACGACTTCAAACAATATTTGCAAACAAAATTATTTGTGCTAATGTTTGATAACGAATATGACTTTCCAGATTCTGTAAATATTGAAAGTTTCCATTAAACTATTTTTAAAGTGTTAAAAATAACGAACGTCACATAGAAACATGAAGACATTTAAAAGGTTGTTGACTTTCATCAATGAAAACACTTAAATGATAGAAACTTTCTCGTTCTTCAAAAAATATTTCCTTAATTATATTGAACAGCCAACACGAAGAAGCAGTTTCCATTTATATTTTGTCCAAATATAATCATCGCAAAGCATCCCCATCGCGACACGAACCGTCTCAAGAGAAGAGGAAGAACTTTTTTTCAATTTATTCCGGAAAAATGAGAAGCTCAGGTGTTTCGCCTTAAATAAAAGGCAGTTATGATAATTCGCATAAACAATATGTCAATGCTAATAATACAAAACAAGAAAGCATATTCATGGCTTTTCTTATTTTCTCCCAGTTTATCTTCATGGTTCGCTTTTTAAATTAAGTCGTTTTCTTTTTATTGCCAAATAATCTTGTTGGATCAGTACGAAGTAGATAGATAAGAAGTTTAAGAAGTGAAATTGTTTTTCTTTAAGAACTTCAATCTAAACATGAGGAACAAGGAGAGAGAAAAAAAAGCAGCTGAGAAAGCTGATAGAAAATGATGCAATTGTTGGACAAATGACATTAAATTTCTAAATTGATGATAATTTCTCACAACATTTTTGCATTTTCTATGACATCGATTAGAGGGTGGAAAGAGAACAGGAAATTTTAAAATATGATAACAACCACATTCACTTAACTGTAATAATTTTCTGCAGTTTACATTCATTATTTAAAAGGGACTTAATGGGACTTGCAAAGGAAGAAAGCATCGGAGAGAAAGAAAAAAAAAGGAAATTTATGTTTATTAATTAAAGAAATGCATTTTCAAAGAACTTAATTTTTTTTTGCTTTTCTCCTTTTATCTATTTATTGCAGACAAACTCTGATGACGTTGTTGAATTTTTTAAAGAATTCCAAATTGCACAACGTGAAGTCTTCGAATGGCTTCGAAACGAGTATCATCAACAAAGAATGCCCACGAGATTCCAACGTGATGTTGATGCAATAAATGGAGACACCTGGTACAAAAATTATCAAATTAAAGAATGCCAGACCAACAATAAATCATCGCTCTGCAAAATAAGTCATGTGAAGAATGAGAAAGTGGAAAGTAACACTTCAGAAATCTCAGAACTGTTTGATGACTTGGAAAAAACGAATAAAACGACCTGGAAAAGTGGAACGAGTTATGATGAAAATTTTCAATCTTCAACTCATCATGACGAGAACGACGATGTAGCTGCTGAAAGGATTAATGATCGAAATATCAAACTCGAACAGCTGTTGTCTGTTAGTGACCATAGAGAGATTCCTGGCCCTAATTATAGCCCCAACCAATTCAACATTAAGGCGCGTTTGAATGCAAAACAATTTTTGGCAAAACAACAAAATGCTATTCATGAAATTGAGATGAAACATCAACACCTGGATGCTGATGATGCTGTTGCAGAGAAGCCAAAAAGTTTGTTTCTGGGACTAAATGGAAATCAATTGCGCGAAGCATCATCAAACTCCCATTTTCCTTTAACATTCAAGCTCGATACATCATCGAACGATATGAAACGTTCATCAGATCAGAATCAGAAACTTCAACAATTCGAGCACCACTTTGATGATGAAATCAACCAGAAGAGAAATGATTTATTCGATGAAATCCACGAGAACTTAGATGGGAAGCACTCCCAGAAGAAACAATCGTTAAAATCGCTTCATCGAGTCAAGCGACGTGACGTTCAAATGGATGTGGATGTAATTAATCGATTATTGTCAGAGAGAAAGTTAAGCATGAAGGAATTTTTGAAAAATTATGAAGGAAAGGACGATGGTAAATATTACGAAATAGAATTGACGATTGAAATTTATGATTTTCATTTCATTTCAATTTTCCAGACACAATCAATGATATTTTTGCTAAGCTTTCGAATGTTGATAACATGAACAATGTTAATGAAATAAGAGACAACGAGAATGCAAACGCCACGTCAACAGCAACAACAACAACCGCAAAGCAGGAAATGAACAATGGTAACGAAAGTGATTTGAATGGCAAATCCTCATGCAATGATACAATGGTTGTCAATAATAATCACACAACATCATCATCATCGTCGTCATCATTGTTGGGGAAAGGAGGGAACATGAAACGAGAGTAAGCAGAAAATGTTTTAAAGGAAAATTAATCTTCTCCATCCCTTGAAATGAAATGTTAAAGTCGAATGAGACAAACGCATTACATGACAGTTTTATGAATTTTTGTCTCTCTTTCCCTTTTCAGAATTTATCATAATCATCGGCGACGTCGTCATCATAATCAACGTTCAATCAAAGGCAAACATAAAATATCCGATTTGATTTCCGGCGAGTTACCAAACGAGATTGTGAAAGTAATTAGAAAATCATTCGTAGGTGAAATTTGTGGTTTAATAAGAATAAATATTTTCCAGTCAGTCCATAAGCTCGTCAATTTAAATGCAGATTTGAAACGTCATATAAAGCCACATTTAGTCGAACCTAAATACACAAAATTGAAAGATTCATCAAAAATAAGCAACACAAAGATTGACAACATGATGTCTGACTTGGTTGAATTTATAAATGATCTTGTTAATGATCAAATAGAAATGCGAACATGCATCACACTTACCCCAGAGCTTGAGAATTTCTATTCTGAGTTAATAGGACGACGAAACTTTAATGAAGAATCGTCAGATTATCTCGATGATGAAAATGAAAGATATTCGAGATTTCTGACACCAAAGAAACGATTGACAAGAAAAGTTTGTTTGTTTAATCTCATGTAATCTTTTGTAAATATCTTTAAGGAATTATTTTCTTCTTCTCTACTTACATACACTTGAACATAGACGAAATTCCATTATGCAACATTGAATGAAATTAATGAAAAGTGTGGTAAAGTTCTTCACTTTCAAATGATATCCACGAACCTCCCACTTTCTCAGGAACAGAAAAAATGGTTTAGTAAATTTTTCAAATCTCACGTTCACATTTGCGATGAGCTGAAACATCAAAGAGACAAACATAAGAGAAGCCTTAAATATATCAACGGCACTCAAGAGTTTGTCAAGCTTGAAACATTCAAAAACTACGTCAAAGAAATGAAGTTGGATGACTTCTAAGAAGATTTTCTCGATTCTCATTTCGGCAAATGGATCTCCTGCTTTTTGGATTGAATTGCCATAAAATGCTCTTTATTTATTAAATAAATTTTTCCCTGCTACCGATATCATGATACATTGAACATAAAGATAAATAATAATTTAATGGAGAACGTGTCGAAACTACGAAAAACATGAGCGGAACTTTTTTTTTTCGTTACTCGGATGTGAATTGGGAATTTTTGTTTTAATGGAAGAAGAGAAGGCAAAGAAAAAAAAATTTCGAAGTGAATTTTGTGCAGGTTAACCACATATCAATGTGAGGGTGTATTGACCTGAAGTGTAATCTTTTAACTTTGAAGAAAGCCAATCTAAACATGTGAACACGGAACTTATAAATGTGACTTCAAAAACATGAAAATTTAATACAAAATTTATGCCATGTTTGGCGAACGGAAAATTGAAAACTGCTTGCCATAAACATCCCCGAAGCTCGCCTTTTTCTTCTTTATTTCTTTTCTCCTCTTTGCCTGTTCTATTTCCCATCAATTGACAGCATGCTTTAGAATGTTTTGTAATTAATTGCCTTTCAAAAGATGCCATCAACCATATGTGCTGGTGAAATGAAATAAGTAATGTTGTTTGCTCCTCTTCCTTTAACTAACTGCAACGCGAACAAACAAAATTAAATTTGATGGATTTGCAGAGCTTTCGCGAACGACAAACGACACAAATAAATTACAACAACCAAATAATTATGTTCTTCAATTACATTTCAGGTGATTCTCGGAACAATGAAATACGAGATGAGAGTGGAAGTAGAAGGGGAAGTGGTAATAATTACGAAGTCCATAAATCATTAACATAAGAAGACAAATGAAGTCGGAATTATTTGAGCCATTAAATAAATTTATTTGCTTCTGCTGCCGCTCGTTACAACATCGTTCATGTTTAATGATTAAATTGTTAATGTAAAGGCAGCAAATTTACGCTTAATAGTTTTCGTTGTTGCTTCTTTTTTATATTTATTTTAATAAGAAGATTTATTTTGAAGATGAGTAAGATAAGTAAGGGAAAAAGGGAAGAAAAGACTTTCTAATCACTTAAGTTGTCCGGAATCTAAAAGAAGAAATCTTTTTCGCTCAATTAAAAAATTTACCAGCAGATAGATGCTTTAGCTTAATTAATTCTTGAGTCGAGACGATAAATTATCACCTTCAATACATTTTACAAATCCAAGGTAGAAATTTCAAAGAGGAAATATTTGAAAAATAAGAAAATCTTCTTTAGAAGTATAGGAAAAGTCAATCGATAAGCTCAAACAAGAGTTAAAGCCAAGTTTAAATTAATTTATGATCTTCTCGACCATTCCAGGTTACTTAAACAACAACAAGAGAAAAGAATTTTTGTTCTTTCTTAATAGTTTTCATTCAGAAGGATAAACCAAGTTACTTTAATTAAATTTTACTTTTATGTACGGAAAATGTTAATCGCACGATTTGGAAAATAATTTCTTAAGATAAATTTTCATGCTTTAACGTATTATCGTCAATATTCCTGGTTTACCATTCTGATATTTGTTGCAGTTCAATATCACAATGAAAAAAGAAATAGAAACGAATTTTATTCCACAAACGTTTCAATTCGATAACCAGAGTGTTAAATAATTTAACCGAACTCATGCTGGTAGAGTTTCGTCTTTAGATAACTTTGTATCGTTTCCCAAACTACAATTTTCCTGTTTCCAAATGTTCAGAATTGTTTAATTTTTAATTGGATTGTTTCTACTTTTTTCTTTCTTATCTTTTCTTTCTGTTAGAGATATTTCTTATTTGAGATACATATCAACAGCAACAACAAACTTGTAAGACGTTCTGTTCTAAGAAGACAATTCAATTGAACTGAAATCAATTGGCAACGTCACCGCATGGTCAGTGCAAATGAAATTAATTGAAAATTGTTTAATGTCCTTTCAACATAACGATGTTAAACTGCCTGTCCACCTACAAGATATGTAGATATTCATGTATCAATTCACTCACTTAACTATCCTTGAAACCGAAAACACCCAAAATAGCAATCAGTTTGATTCGTTTATAAAAAATTCCTTCGCAAGAGATTCGCAATTGTGAAATAACATGATGTTATCAGGAAATTAAAACATATTCTCTCCTTCTCATTTACTCCCAGTTTTTCCCCTGATAAACAGCTACGGGCTTGAATTACACAATTGGTGCTATTTTATATCATGCACTCAGGTGAATTTTATTTATTCGAGGCTTTTGTTTCTGTTTCGAATTTTACCATCTACATGTAGAAGAGATATGTACATACGTGATTGGAATTAAACCATCATGAACGGTCGTTGTTGGTTGTGTTTTCATTTTATAAATTCATGCAATTTCAAATGACAAACCGAGAGAAAGAATTTTAACTCAGCTCACTCACTCACTCTCACAGGTTGCAAATATTTAATTTGTTATCCATGTAATGTTGCGTGTTGGATTTGAATGAATGTTGACGTCGCTTCGGAAGGGATTTCCCCAATTTTGTGTTAAACGACAATTTACAATTGCCTTTCAGCGAAATGTCAATGATTTCAGAGAATAAATTTCAATTATGCTTGAAATGAAATTTATCAACAGCTTAACGTTCATTCATGAATTTACGCTTCTTGATTCTATAAACACCAGAAGACGTTTTGAATTTGTGTTCGCCATTTAAAAATCTACATAAGCTCTGAATGGCAAAGTCTACAAATGGAAAAGACGAGCAAAATCGAGACGTTTATCAATGATTTTTTAATGAGTAATGTCAATAACCTGAAGCGTGGTCTTTTCTTTCTCTTTCTCTTCATCTTGTTTACACTTTTCAGAAATTTGCATCAAAACAAACCTTGTGACTTCGTCATTGAGAAACCGTCGAAAACAAGACACTTAAAGTCTCTAAATAGCTTGATATGGAATTCTGCAATCGTTGCATAATGCGTTGATTGACGTTGTTTACGTTACAAATCAATGAATGAAGCGTTCAAGACCGTGAGTCATAAAACGTGCGTTGTTGTAAGTCATCAAGTGAAAAACGATAAGCATTAAAACGACAACAACTTTCCATTTCTTTAAACATATGATCTCATTATTCAATTCGAGACAGCTCGAGACTTTTCGCGTATAAAAAAACAAACGGATAGGTTTCGTTTCAGTGGTGACGACATTCAGCTTCATGGAAGTGAAATTTGTTTCAACGAAGTTCATCGAAATGTATCGGTGGAATTTCCAACACTAAACAATTGACTTTTATGGTCTTCGAGGAATATTTTTATAAAAGAAAAAAAAAACTTCAATTTCTGTAAACTTAAAACGATGGAAAATTGATGTTTTTTTTTTGCTCTCTCGCTACTGTAGCAACTGAAGCATCATCAGATTATTGGAAATCAGTAAAGATTTCTTCAACAAAAATAAGTATTTTCTTATAGAACAAATAATGATTTTTCCGCATAAGAAATAACAGTCATGGGAGAGGAAAAGCATTATAACCAGAAGATGAAAATTTAAGACAAGTCGGGTGGAACAGAAAAATGTGAATGAAATGTAAGTAAGTATTGATTTGGACAAAACATAAAATGTTGGAAGAAAGATGTTTTCGTTAATGTTCAATCGTAGTATGAATTTTTAGGGTAACCAGATCGGAACCTCCTTTTTTGTCAAACAATATAATTTTACCTACATAAACCTTTCAACATAAAAATGAAATTTTCCGCGAAATTTATTTTCCTTCTTTGTTCCCATGAAGAATCTAAAATTGCACTTAAGGAGGTCAAAGCTCTTGAGCGCAAAATTTTACATGAAAGTAAGCTTATCGATAACAACGATAACGTTTGCATATCTACATAAAAAATGTTTTCTGTCACGTACCCAACATTAACCGAGTAAGAGGCAGAAAAAGGTGTAAACAACCAACATTCAGATTAATGTGCCGCTATTGAGGTCTCGCGACGTAAACAAAAAATCCGAAGGTGAGAGAGAAGGAAGAAACAGAAGTTAAAATGTATAAAAGATGAATAAAATGTTCACCGCTATACAGAAATTCAATCAGTTGTTAATATAAAGCCAAGTGCGAAGCATCGACTTCAACAAGTTAATCAAAAGTAAAAAAAAGAAAATTTTAAAAGAAGTTATAATTAATAAAATGAACGCAAAAATAAGCTTAATTACGGTTCTGGTGTTGTTAACATCTGTTGTGATGATTAGTTGTCATCCAATAGATATTTTATACCAACTGACAGATAGCAGCGAGAGACAATTAATGAAAAGATTAGCAGAGTATTTAACGAATGATTACAGTGATGAAAGTTCTTCGTCTTCTTATTCGAATGCTGTGCACACTCGTGGAGTGACAGCTAATCAGGAGAAATGCAGATTACCAATGAAACGTGGTCTTTGTCGGGCTCTTCTGCCAAGATGGAGGTGAATCTTTGTTTTATTTTTATTACTAGATAATTTTTTAAGTGAGAGAAAACTTTCACGTTCTGTTAGTTCAAAAACATGAAAAAGTTTCATCACGAATGTTATGCAACACGTTAAACGTTTAAATAGACATCAAGAAAAACTTTCATTGATTGTTAACTTATTTTATCATTTTCCTTAAATTTATTATTTTTAGATACGATCCAATCACGAGAACATGTTCGGAATTTAAATTTGGCGGGTGAGTTAATAAAACGTGATTTGAATTATCATTTCAATGAATAAAAATTTAATTATTAATTGTTTAGATGTGATGGCAACGCAAATAATTTCAAATCAAGAAGTGAATGCATGGAACAGTGCGCTGGAGTGTGACCAACAGATATTGATAAAAACTTTTAAGTTGAATCTCTCGTGATATTTCCTGACTGCTATAATTAGATTATTTAATAAGATTTTGTTATAAGGATAAAAAGAATAGAATAAAAAATAATTTCTTCCTTATTTTCTCTTTTCAATTTTCAAATAATTTTCAGATTTTCCTTTTTCTTTCCTCCGGTAAATTGTGAATTGTTGTCGATAGCAACTGTTCAACGAATAAAAATTCGTTTCATGAACATGAAATGTCCATTCACCACAAGATGTTTAAGAGCGATAATAACAAATGGAATTGAGTTGAAATAATTTTATATTCTTTATCGATCATTTAACGCATGAAATGTAGTTGAAAATTGGATTTTTCTTTTCTTCTTTTACTTTTCCTTAATTCACTTCTGCATTGAAGTGACCACAACATACCAACTAGTAAATAACAATCTTGATAATACTTATGAAGAGGTATTCAGAAATTACTCGCAATCTCCAATTTCCATAGTTATTCCAATAATTTTTTATTGATAACGAAAGTAAGCGATAATAAAAATAAAAAAATTTAACAAAACTTTATGAATGACGTTACTTTGTTTAGTAATTGAAAGAATGACTTTTCGTGTTCTTAAAATTTAATATTTGAACAGCAATAACTGAAAAACTTTTGTCAATTGTTTAACGTCATAAAATAACTTTATTTAACAACAGTTTGAAGTGAAACTATCATGAACATTCAATTTCTCGTCAGTTTTTAAGGAAAAGCAGCTGATTAAATGTAAATTCAATAAACGCGCACATTGCATCACGATAAATGTAAACAATTAATTGAAAACTTTTTTTCTTCAGTCATTAAATATCTTTTCGTCTTTATTTATCGACAAAGCGTCATCAATACAACAAGATTTCTTATTTAAAAAAAAGCAACAACACAGAATTTTTAAGATTCTCACAATAAATTTTGCACATGGTCTTCCTGTTATTTTGAACGATAAAATTTGAGATATTTGTTTTTGGTTACAATCCTCTGATTAAAGTTAAACCTTACCAAGAAGGTCATGATGGTAAAGCTTCTTTCGATAACCACGGCGGAAGTAAAACTTAACAGCAACAACCATTAAGCAGATTATGATTACAACATAAGCCAAAATTCCAATATGTAGATGAGTGTTATTAGCTCCACCAGCAAAGATTTGTCTCGCTCTTGCATTCAACTTTAATGCTCGTGGTTGATCTAATCCCATGTCGTTTATATGAGAATTTCCATAATGTCGACGCATAAATTCGAGAACTTCTTGCTTATCCCAATCCCCATTACTCTTCCGGCAAGCATGACAAAAATCATCATTTGGAAATTGAATTTTCGGATGATTTTTATCTTCTGTTAAATCGCCAGCTAATCTTTGGTTGACTTCATTGTGCGCACTCCACAACCACAACACAGCCTGATCTTTACTCGTAACATTCCAAATGTTATTTCTCTTCGCCATTTCTTTGAAATGTTTGGCACAATCAGAACAACCAAAGAAGTGACTAATGTAACCATGCATTGCATAAAGAACTTCCATTGGATCTTCATTGTCTTCACTCTCCAAATGTTGAACTGTAAGATGATGAAATAGCGACCAAAGTGAGCATGGAAATCGTCGTTTTCCCGCTTGAGTACTGAAACATCCAATATATTGACTCTCATGTACAATTGGCGGATCTAAATTCTTCAAGAATGTTTGCAAGTCAGATCCATTCACTTCGATTACTGATGGCTCCATTAAATAGTCAAGCAACTTTTTGTATGAATTCTTATTGCCATATGTATAATATCGTGCCAAAACTGACACGAAGTTCCTTAAAGCAGAAAGAGATTCACCAGAAATTGTCTCACGCTGAATAACTTCATGATTTAAAGTATTTCTGATTGCTTGTTCAAGATCAGCACGAAACAATGGCATTGGTTTCATTGATCGTGCTTTGTCATAGAAGAAACGGTTGAGAAGATCAGCAGCAGAGTCGGTACCGTTCTCAAGAACGTCATTTTCCTTTGGTGGAGACTCTGTCGTAGCCACAAGCAAATGATGTTGCTTTAAATGATTTGAAATCGCTTCTGAAAATTCTTCTCTCAACTCAATCTCTACTGGAATGGTTTTAAAATCACCTTTTGGATCAACAACGCCAAGTTTAAAAGATTTATCCTTGAAATAAAAGAAATTAATTGTTTGCTGTTGTTATTAATAAATTTTCTTACTGGAATTAATCGAAACTCTCCATCAACAATTCTAACATCAACTCTTTCGACATTTATGTGATCGAGAACAACTTGTTGTGGAAGATATCCAAGAAGATTATCATTGACTATGTACACAAACTTCGTGTCAAGTGAAGCTTCATTAAACACATCTTTCCAGTTATTTCCATCAAAATTGTCGAAATTAGGCCATGATGGTCCACCTTCTGTCTCGTTGACAAGACGTATTGTGATCTCATCAAGCAAATCATCAAATGTTGGCAAATTTAAGTGATCTAAATTGGTTCCAATTTGCTTCTTCCCCTTTTGATAATTTGGTGGCATGTATCGCATTGTGGGATATCTCATGATCTCATGTTCTCTACAGACAGCATTGTTCTCATCACTTGCACAGTCAATTGCTGCAATCTCAACGATACTATTCCAAGGAGCGATGCTTGTACCAACTTCCTTCCATACTGAAGAGAATCTTTGGCATGTTCCACAATAAGCGTTATAAAATTCCAGAAAAGTGGCTTTTGGATTGTTGAACACAACTTTTTCAATATTTGCAGCAGTCACAATTATGACTTTGTCGTTTGGTCCATACAGACCTGTTAAGACATTAAATAAATAATGAGAAAAAAAAATTGAAATTAAAATTTTTATCTCACCTTGCGTCGATTCTCTTTTAATCATCCTTTCATAAGGACTCATGCTGGCGGTGATGTTTATCAACAGGAACCCAACGACCAGAAACACTACCTGGTTGTATACGTGCATTTTAATGAATTTATATTTTTGCTGATTAAAAACAAAAAATAATGAATTCCGTGCAAAACACGTAGGCAAAATGTTTCTCGAGTGAACGAACAATAAGAACTGAATAAGTCGACAGCGAATGTTTTAAAAGACTTCTTTAGATAAAAGGAAGAAAACAGATGTTTTGATAACGACAACTACATTTTACATTTTCACTACTTATCAAAACAGATCGCTACGCTCACAGATTTTTTGTTTTCGATTTTGTTTTTCTTATTTCTCTCCTTCCTTTCGAACACAACACGAACGGCTTCGAACGAATGATTTGAAAATATTTTTCCAGTTAATTTCTCTAAATCTAAAGTGTTCAAATATTTGTCTGTAAGTTTGAAATTCTTATTCTGGAATGAATTGAACATCTTTGTCTGAGAGTTTGAATTTTTGTTGTCTTCTTTTTAATGAAAGGTAATTAAGAAGATATTTACAGAAAAAACATAAGCTTGTGAGTTGTTTGACGTTGTCTTCTCACGTCACATGTCTCTTCTTAGCATAATTAATGAAATTTTAATTTATTTATCTCCAATCGAGATCTTCTATCCAACAAGTAGGAACATTAAAATCTTCATTTATCACCCAAATGCTTGAAAATAAATTTTAACATTCAATTGTTATCTCTAAAATTCTATATTTAGAAATTTTTAGAAATGATTGTTCCACATTTATTAATTTCAGACAGAAAAAGAAATCTAATCATTGTGATAGAAAAAAATAACATTCTAAAGTTCATTCTTATGACGTTTTAGTTTGAATAACTTGAAATTTCTAGTTTTGTCTAGAAATAAATTGAAAATTTTAGAACTTTTTGAAATATTTGACAGCAGGAAGTTCACTTACAACTTCGGTATCAATCACTGTTAGCTTTTCCACTTAGCATTCTTTAATTCCATTCATTAACTTTAATGAATTGAATGAAAACTGAACAGCAGCAATTTTATTTAGTTTAAATGCAATTTTAGATGCAATGCCAGCAGATATAACAACCATCGCTAGGTAATTAAATCAATTGAATGTTTCACTATAAAACTCCCAGACAAAAAGAGTTGTCGAATTAAAATTTGCAGATAAGCAAAAAAAAAAAAGTGTTGAAAATGCAATCAATTTTTAATGAGTCGTCGGTTGTTGATCTATCTATGCTCATAATTATATTTTCCCCCATTCTTAATTAATTGATAACAAATGTGCAATGTGCATTGTATAGACTGTATTTTTCTGGTGGCGCTGCGTAATCTTCTTGTTCTTATCTCACACTTTCTTTTTTCACAGCTATCAATCATCAGGAAGTAGGTAGTTATCAACAAATTATACTTTTTAATATTTTTCTTTTTTTTATTTTACGCAATCCTAAAACCGTAAACAATTTTCGTGATTAAGTTAATGTTTTTAATTTCTTGTCATCATATTCAAGTTATAATTGAAGATTCATTCATCTTTCAGCGACACGTTACGCGAGGTTTTTATTTTTGTTTTCAGACGCTGATTGTCAACTCTGAGAACAAAAAAAAAATCTGGTCAATGGTCAAGTGAAATCCCGCTCGGCTTATTGAAGATTTATTCCTGTCTTGGAGTGTTAATGACCCAACGAACATAAAAATTCAATTTTGCTTGATATGAAACGACATGTGATGAACCGTGAATTGGGATGCACGCTTTTTCAGACAAATCAATGAAATTTTTACACGATGCATTCAAGGTTGAATAGCCAGAAAAATAAAATAAAATCAATTTTCTCTATGAGTAATTCTGGAATTCTCCTTCATTTTAAACTTTATTTTTTCATATCCCTAAACTTTACAGCTTGAGTTGAGTCACGTCCCTTAAAAGTATAAACCAATAGAAAAGTAAAGAAAATAGTTTGTTATCTATGACATTTTTGAGCGAAACAATAAAACTGATCACTCATCTAAGTGGAGAGTTTTTCTGAGAGTATTTTGCTGAGATTCAGACTCCTTATCTGTCAGCATTGTCAATCTAGGAGAATCATTTACCTTCAGTTGATGTTTAAGCGTTGAAGTGATCAGTACAAAAAAAATTTAATCAAGGAAGACAAAGCAGAAGAATTTGTGACAATTGTCAAGTTTACTTTTGATTTTATTCCAACATTTTCCTAAGTGCTGTTAAATGTTTGTTACTGCAAGGATAATCATCATTATTTTGCAGTCATTTGTGACACAACCAGCAGTGATGATCATCAAATAATTTTTCATTTCAACTAAGTTCTTCTGAAAAAGTTTCTTAAAATTAAAAAGGAGAAAAATTTTAGTTTAAGAAATCATTTGAGACGACAATCAAAATTCAATCGACCTACAAATAAAAAAATAAAGAAAAAGAAATTTTACGATAGAAGTTAAACGCTCTAAAAATTCTACGGTCGAGTAACTTTGAGTGTAATAATTTCTTGGGGCCATCAAAGTCATTTAAAATATTAAATTAAAATTTAAGTTAAATAAATAATATGCCGAGCTTCACAAAACGACAATGGCTAACACTTACAATTATGGCTCTAACAGATTTTTGTAACGCTATTTGTGTTAGTCTTCAGGTAAGAATTTAATTAAAATTTTATTAAATCTTCTACCTAGAAGAAAAAAATTTTGATCATCCTCAAAAATTTGAATAATTTTTCCATGACAAAAAGATAAGAAATCGTTTGTAGATAACTTTCACTTACCTGATTGATAATCCTTTGTCTATGATAATTTTATTACGCTTCAAAATGAGTCACTGCCTTGTCTATGAAGTAAGTTTTGTATCAATAAATCATCATCATCATTAATTGCAGGCTCCATTCTTCCCACACGAAGCCGAGAAAAAAGGCGCAAATGCAACAGAGTATGGATTGGTCTTTGGCATATTCGAACTTGTGGTATTTGTCATCTCACCAGTTTATGGTCATTACATGAATCGTATTGGTCCAAAGGTAAAGAAAACAGAAAAACGAAATTTCTAATTTTCATGTCTAACATTCGCAAAAAAATCACAAATTGTAGAACCTTTTCAATTGCGGTATTCTGACAACTGGAATCTCGGCAATCTTGTTTGGGTTTCTCGATCGCGTTCCAGGTCACACGCTGTTTATCACCCTCGCATTTGTAATCAGAATCATTGAGGCGCTTGGAAACGCAGCTTTTCTCACATCAAGTTTTGCAATCATCGCAAAAGAATTTCCAGACTCGGTGGGTACAACATTTGCCATGCTTGAGACATTCTTTGGACTTGGATTAATTGTTGGACCAATGGTGAGTGTTTTGTTCATGAAAAATTTTCGAGAAAATTACTCAAAAATGAAAGAGAAATTTCATTATTCATTTCAACTTCGTCATTGTCATTATTCTGAAATGAACTTTTAAAAAAATTCCTTATCACTATTTTTCATTTGTCTCATGCTCTCAATCGTTAAATATTGACTAGGTCTGTTTATCAATTCTCTTGCTTAATCGATCGATCGATGGGTGTCACTAAGAAATTTCTTGAATTTCATTTGCAGGTCGGCGGTGTACTTTATCAAGTTGATGGATATTATCTGCCATTTGTTGTTCTTGGATCGTCATTATTTACATGTGCGATTCTTACATATCTTGTACTTCCTAGTCATCCACCAGATCCCAACGACGGCAATGGTCGAGGATCAATGCTTACAGTAGTGAAGATCCCTGGCGTTCTTGTTTGCACTTTTGGAATTGTTGCTACTTCAGCTTCGATTGGCTTCATTAGTGCGACACTTGAGCCACATTTAAGGCAGTTCGACTTGAGCGCTGTCAAACTTGGCGTTATGTTCGTCATCAATGGTGGAGTTTATGCATTGATTTCACCTTTTGTTGGATTCATAGTTGATAGATGTTCATCACCAAAGTATGCGTCAGTTCTTGGATCGATTTCAATCATCATTGGATTTAGTTTAGTTGGTAAGTTCAATTAATTGATTCATGAGAATTTTTGTTGACTTGAAAATGATTTTAGGACCTGCAACTTACGTTCCATACAACACATCCGTCCCTTTGGTTGTAATTGGTCTCTCATTTCATGGTTTGGGAATTGGTTTGTTATTAGTTTCGACATTTTCTGATGCACTCAGAACATCGATTCGAAATGGTATGGAAGATTGTGTGAAGACTTATGGACTTATTTCTGGGTTGTGGACATCGACCTTTGCTTTAGGTGCATTTGTTGGACCGACAGTTTCGGGGGTTCTTTATGACGCTATAGGGTTTAGAAAATCAGTTTATTTTATTATCATTTGGCATGCGATAAATGCACTTGTGTTTGGAGTTTACTTGTGTCTAAGCCATCGACGTCGTTATCTTTACAAAGAAATCCTATCGAAAGAAACTCTCAACAAAAAAAGTTGCGAAGATATATTTATAAGCACAAATAATTTAGAACCATCAGTAACTCGAAATGGTGCACTTAATACAAATCTTTCGATTCCAATTGAAAGAGGCTGTGGAATGAGTAATCTCATAATGGCTGCAAGTTATGGAAGTAAAGGAAATCATTGGCAACGATTAGACGAATCAAACATTGGCCTCCTTCAGGAAACACATTGTGATGACTTGAGCTTAGGTGTTTATGGAAGTTTTGAAATTGAATATGAAGCACATCGTGAGACCATCGCATAAATTTAAATTGAACAACATAAAACAGAAAGAAAACTTTTCATTACATTTCAATCTAGTTCAACGAGACTCAATTGTAAAAAATTCTCTCTCAACTTTTCTTTTAAATCAACAACTCATAAGATTAATTTTAATTAAGTTTAACGACACAATATTTGGTGAGAATTGCATTGAAGACTTTTGCCCCGCATTGCATCTTTCGGATGATCAAGTAATTTGCATTGCGTATTAAGCTGATATCATTTGACAAAGCTACGTCAGAAATTTTCTTTGATTTTATTGATTTTTTATAGTTTATTAAATAAAATTATTTTATTTCTACTTTTTAAGAAAATAACAAATTTTGTTTTGATTTTTTTATGCAAATGTCAGCACGTAAATAGGAAATTAATTTGAGATTGATTAGCTGATTGTTTACTTGTTTGTTTTGAATGTTAGGAACGTATGTTAAACTTCATGTGAATTGCCTTGATGCAAGCATTAGACTTCGTTGTTATCAATTCTTGTCTGGAGTTCTTATTTTTCCCGTGCTACTCGAAACTCGTGGCGATTCGGGTGTAATAAAATCATAAAACAAATTATCAGTAATAGAAAGCAGTTGAAGCAATTCCTTCAGCTTATCGCAATTTTCTTTCTACGTCGCCAAAAAGAAACTCACTTTTGTTTTCAAATTTCTTTAAATATTTTTCATTTAATATTTCATTCAGTTATTTCATCATTTTTTATTGGGTAAAATGATAAAGCTTACAAATTTGTTTACTAATCGTCATCATGTTGCACAACGTCTAGCTGAAGTCATGTCAAGGTTTCCATTTTAAGCTTCAAAGTTGCAAAAAAATTTAAATCTTTCCACTTTGATTGACTTCAAGAGATATTTCTTGACATTTGATTGAAATTTTTAATTTTTTTTCAATTTAAAGTACGAGGGAAATCAGAAAAATTTATGAAAGGAAACAAATATTTTGACCGCTATGCAAAGATATGATGACAAAACAGAAAGAATGAGGGGAAATTAAACTTCAGCCATTAATTTCTCGCCTTCAGAGAAAGGAATTACGCCTTTGCTAGTCAATGAATAAATGTAAGGCAGGAAGTAGCTCTTCTCGTTGCCTTCTTCATCAACATATTTAAAGCGAAGCTCGGCAAACTTTCGTAAACGATCAGAACTCCATTGTTGGGAACCTTTGCTGATTACTTCATAGACTTCGGTTACTCCAAGTTCACCACGTTGATCTATGAAATGAAATTTAAAAATGAACTTTAGAATAAAATTCAATAACCAACCTTGAACTCTTTGAAGTCTGCTTGTAAAGAATCCAATCACCATGTCAATATTTTGAATGATATCTTGAAAAGCTGGATGACTCCGGAACGATTCAAAAACATGTCTTTTGTACAGCAATGTATACACAAGATTAGGACAGAATTGAAGTTGATGTGAGAGAGCCGAATTGATAATTTCCAGCACCATTCTTAAAACTTCTTCCAATACATTCATATCTTGAATCTAAATTGATTAAATTATAAATTGATTGTTTTGTTTTTGAAAATAAGAAAAATATTTGATAATATTTAAGTTTTCTATTGCAGAGAATTTACTGCAATGATTCAGACTTTTGATATAAAATTCTATCCAATTAAAATAAAAAATTGACCTTATACCCATATAGATGAGATCAAATTTAGCTTGCATACTCACCACATCTTCTGTGACATCAACTACACTGGTTTCTGCTTGTTTAATACTTTCTAGTTGAGTCTGAAGTCGTCCATGCTTTTTAGCAAGCGTTTCAAATAATGAAACAAGCCTCTGTGACACATATTGATGAAGATATCGGAATTGCGACGACATGTTAGCGAGACATGCGAGACAATTCGTGTGAAGATATTTATCACGAACTTTTAACATGTTATATTGAACTGTCCGAATGATCACAAGAATCAAAAGACCACCGAGAGAGATTTCCGATATACTTCGCTCTGTATACCATTGAATATTCCTCAACATAATGTTGTGAACAGATTTATTGAATCCTTCATCTTCTGAGAGAATCAGCAATACAATCAGCGACATGTAAATGTGATGTGAACTGCTGTCGGGTGCATTGTAAAGTATTTGAAGTATCGGAATGACAAGCTCTTGGAGATTAGGTTGAGCCATAACAAATTTGTAGAATTTCTCATTCCGATGAAGTAAAAGATAAAGCAACAAAGTTGTGTGATCGAGATGAGTAATTTTGCATAATGTTTGATATAATCCCGCAAAATCAATTTTAAACGATCCAACTTCATCCTTCACTAATTCAGTTGAATTAGAACAGTTGAATAAACTATATCTGTAGGGATTATTTTGAATGTCCACTGAATCGTCAGCATTGTGATTGGTGAGAATGAGAATAAGCAATAAACTTTGATTTGCTAGAGGAAAATTTTCTTTGAAGCTCTTGGGAAGATCTGAATCTAATGCATCTGGTTTCTTTGAAAATGTCAGCATTGACCAGAAGGATTCGGCGAGTCCAAAGACAAATGAGCCGCCAGTGTTTGATAATCCATAAGCAGTTGGTGGAGCTGGTGTCGTTCGACTGACGAAATGAAGTAAAGTTGCAAGAAGTGTTGACGCATATTTGCATTTGTAAATTGTCCGGAATATTGTGGATTTGTCAGTTGTCTGCTGATTATAAAGATAAACTGAACAGAGAACAATAATCACGTTCACACATTCGAGATGGAGATGATACGTGAATTCCTTTTGTGGAATTACACAAATTATATTGAAGATTGACTCGAGAACTGCATCAAACTTTGTTCCATCAATTGTCTTTGTTTTTACTTGATTACTATTGCTTTCCATCGATACTGATACTTGACTTGATGATGTCGTTCCATTTTTCTCAGTGACTCTCGGCAAAGCTTCAAAATGTTGAAGAAGAAGAAATTCACTTCCGATTTCCAAAATATATTTGATAAGAACACGCAAAATAAATACACAGTTGTACAGTTTGTAGACGTGTAAATGACTTTCAGTGTCATTAAGTGATAACACATCAGATGCTTTTTGTAGGAAAATTGTGATGAGCGATCCAAGATTTCCAGATGTCAGGTTGTTTTGTATGAATGCTTCAAGAGAAGACTCAAGGCGGGAATCGAGATTAAGTTGTTCTTCTGAACTGTTCGGCATTTTTATTGTGAATTTAAGAAATGAATCCCAAAATTCTATATTGTCGGGTGAAATGTGCGTTTTTCCACAAAACTGGCTCAGCAGATCATTTCCACTTACATCCAAGGGTTTGCTGACATTAACGTTAATACCCATGGTGTGTTTTTTACTTTTTATATCACTTCAATTTCCTAAAATTTTAAATTTTATTGAATGACTAAGAATTTGTGTACACATCATCATAGAAGATGTGACAAAATTTTGGAATATATCACTGAAGGGTGTTAAACTACGATTTGTTTTGTAAACAAATAAATTTTGAATGATTTCGTTGATGAAATATTTTTTTAATCAGCATTTTATCAATTAAAATAGGATGCATTTATTCTTTCAGAGATGTGATCTTAGTATTAAAGGATAGGAGTATGTCTACTCATATCAGATGAGTACATATTATGGTTAATATTGAAAGATATTAATGGTTAAAAATACCTTAAATTCTCTCATACAAAATGTACAACGATTATAAGATTATTGACAATTTTTAGATGAATTACCTTATCTATTGAGTAATGTTTAGTTACACATAATTCGAAGAAATAAAAATATACAATCTAAAAATTTCTTGAATATTGTTATATAACATTAAATGAAGTTTAATTAAAATAACAAATACTGAAAAGTGTTCTCCAGTCAACTGACATAAATTTTGAACATTCTTTTGCATCTTTTTAAAGATTTGCTTCTGTTTATAAATGTTATTCTTGTGCAATTGTGATTTGCAGAAAAATTAGTATTAAATCTTCCAAAATGGGTTTTCCTGACAACAGAGATATTGAACCTACTCGTGATGACGCACTTAGCGATTATAACAATCCACCAGATTTTGTGATGGATCAGCTAGAGGAGGAAGAAGCGATGGAAGTTGAAGACGATTCCAATGAAGGCTATTCTCGACTTCAGAATTTTGAAAATGGTGATGATTATATACCAGCTAATGACTCAGATTCAAGTGAAAGTGATGAAGAAGACGAGAACGAATACAACTTCGAAAGTGCTCAAAATGTTGAAGAAAATGCATCGCCAGGAATTCCTCCAATAATTTCATCAGATGTTGAACTGCAGGCTCAAGTTTGGAACACTCCAAGAAGTCAGGATACAATAGAACTAAATAACGAAAAGACTCAACAAATATTAAAGGCAATGAGCAAATTTAGTCTACCAAATATTCCAGCATGGGCTAGTGAAGTTGATCCGACTGAATTGGTTCAAAGATTAAAAAACAAAACGACAAATGACAAATAAATCTCAATATGATGATGACTCATCACAAATAAATAATTATAGCTTTTTATTCGATTCAATGATTTATGATTAAAATAAAACTTCATATTTTCTTTAATAAACTTTTTTATTAGTTACAATTGAAAGGCTAAAAATTGTTCTCACATCTCTAAAGTTAAACATTGTAGTCGATCTTTTATTTATTCTTTTAGAAGCTCTAAGTTTGTGTGATTAAACAGTGTTTATTATTATTATTAAACAGTTTTGGCATAAATATATATGTAAATGAAAAATAATATGAGAAAAGTTTTATAAATGACTTTTTAGCATTCTCAAAGTTATCACAAAAAGGCAAAGTTAATGAATTATTTCTTTCGTTTATCTTTTATTAAGAAAAGAACTCTCAATAGATGATTAATAATTTTTGTTTTTTCATCAAGAAACTCCCACATTTATATCTCTATAAGTATTTCTTGTACAATCAATTCACAAGTAACCGAAAAGCTTTATTTTTGTAATGAATCGATTCAATCTCAAAGCTAATTCAATTCAATAATTTTTCGATTTTAAGTCTATCAATTCAAGCAATTTTTAAGCCTTTTCCAGTAATGAATTTAAAATTTCCCAAAAAAACTTTAAAAATATAGAAAAGGCCAGCAAAAGTCTAAATTTAATTCTCGAATTCAAAGTAAAATTTGGACAAACTTCTACAAGTTTTGAATTACTCGAGAAACAAAATTGATTGTTAACTTTCCCCAACTAATGTAAAAGAAAATTTGTTAAAAATTCGTAAAACTTTAATCTCAATTATAAACGAAAGTTAATTCTTAGATAGAAATATAATAAATCGAAAAGAAAGAAAGAAAAAAAGCAGCAAAGTATTTTTTAAACTGCTTTTCTTCTAGACTTCGATTGCTTGATTTAAACGGTGGGGGGAAAATATTATGTTGCAGACTAAGCCAAAAGTTATGCAACGATTAAAGCGCTGCATGTCTGTTGATCAATTTTTCATCTTCTATGTTTTATAAAATCGATTATTTAAGATTAAATGCATAAAGTCCATAAACATCTCTGGATGAGTTTCTATGAATATATAAAAATATCTTTTTTTTCTGTTTCAATATAGATATAAAGAAAGGAAGATTAATAAAAAACGAGTTTCTTTCCTGATGTAACGCGTGCAACATTAATCAATACATTTTGTGATCGTTTGGTGAATTCAAATATCTATTTGTTTCTTTTTCTTACATAAAAAAGAGTAAAATTGTTGGGAAATGTGCACGGTTAACAACAATTCCTTTTGATTAATGTTTTGAGTGATTACATTTATACTTTTGCTTGTGCATAATTCACTGAAAACTACCAACTACTGTCAGAAAACGATTTCAAGATATTTTCCTTTTTCTAAATAAGCCAGACATTAATCTTAAATGCTTTTTTTCATCATTTTTTGGTCATTGAAAAGCTTTTGAAAGATTTACAGGTAAGATTTTGGTTGAGAAATAATTTTCAGCGAATTCACCAGCGGATAGCCTAAGCATTTAAATAAATTTCAAGATATCATGAAGTCTGATGATAGCTTCACATATTGATCATGAATCAATTTACAGTTTTTATCTTTTTATGGAAGCTTTAATTTAAATTTTTACAATGTTACACTTACGAAATTTCCCAGATAAGTTTTTGATTTATTACTCTATGAATTTTTATGATTAGATTTTCTTTTATCTTTTTAATAGAAGATGAAGTCAGATGAGTCAGAATCAGAATCCGAAGCAAATAAATCTTCGGTGACAATCCTTTCTTCTAAGAAGTCCCAGAAAAGAACACTCTGTGGGTAGAAGAAGTAATAAAAATTATTAAATATTTTATGACAGGCATTCAACGGTCGATTAAAAAAAACATTAAAAGAATTTTTACCTGTAAGCGTGTGTCCAACTGACCAAGACTGTTTAAACGGATCGGTCTTGTTGGTTCACCTACATCGACTGTTTTCCCATCTGGTAGGCAGTGACGGTAGAAACATTTGTTACCAAATGGACATGTCCCAGCTCCCTGAATAAATAAAGAAAATAATCAATGAAAACTCAATAATTTAGCTAAACTTTCTTACCTTCTTGAAATATTTGCAATCTTTCTCTTTTAAAGCTGTTTTGTATTTGGAGATTAACTGTTGCTTCTCCTCAGGATTGTCAACCCAAAAACTACTCGGACACACAAAATCGGAGCATGTTCGACACTCTGGACAGGATCGGATAATTTTGTTATCGAATTGCTTTGCTTGACGCCACGTTCTTATACACTCTAAGCAAAAGCAATGATTACAGTTTGGAAGGATACCAAAACGTTGCTCACGACTGTCTTTCTCCCACACAATATCGAAGCATATTCCACAAGTTTTCTCTTTTGATCGCTGTATTGAGAAAGCGAGTTCCATTTCTTTTTCATGTGCAGCAATGCATTCTGAGTGATGTTGTTTTCGCTGTTCACTGTTTAATGGATCAAGACAAAACTTCCCACATAACTCACACATTTCACCATGAGCGTAACAACAATTTTCATAACGACAAAAACCACTTTTCATGAGAAATGGACACAGAGTTAATGAATCATCAACGGGGGGTGTCCATTCAATAGGATCTATTGGTCGGTTTGCGTTTACAACGTCAGCATATGTTTTTGGCTGCGAGTCAGACTCTCGCATTGAAATAGGCACGAAAATGGGAGCTTGTGGATTTAAAAAGTTTGTGGAAGTTGACGATGAAGATGATGAGGTGGAGGCGAGTGAAAGGTCACAGTTGTTGTTTTCGAAAGGCGTAGGTATTGATGAACTCTCTAAATAAGTACAATATAGTAACATATTGATAAGAAAATATGTGAAAGATTAAAAGTAGAACACAAACCTTCGACATGTAAATATCTGCAGTTATCTCCAAATCTACACAGTCCAACATTATAATATCTGCATGGAATATTAAGTTTTTCGACTAAATGCTGACTGGTAGAAGGTTGAAAGATTGCAGTTGATAATGAAGCCATGTTTTTCTTCCGTAATACTTTTGATTATCCAATTCTTATGCTGAAGCAACCACACACGAAAACGTTAACCAATCGATCGGATCGTTGCTCAATGAATTTTTAATATTTCTTGTGCAATTCTTGACAAGTGTTAAATCTTTTTGTGTTATATTATCATGCTTCAGATATTAAACTCAATATCAGCAAGTAAATCTCGTGTTTTATTGTTGCAGCTTCAGATTTTTCTTAGAATTCTTTTGTTATTTTGACACAATGACAAAAAAAGTTATTTGATCAGAAAAAACGCTCTAGAATTGAATTATACAGTTGTGTTCTTAAATATATGAAGATTTTACATAAAGCTTGTATTTTTAATTCTTTTCAAGTTAAACGATGACGATTATTTATATTTTATTTTTTGATTTTGTGACTTTACAGAAAACTGAGAATTTAGGTAAATCGTAGCTTACTACCCTTTGATAAGTGCAAAAGTACAATGCCCCTCTTAATTATTACTAAATGACGTGACACCATTCTTTAAGCTTCCCACATAAATACTTTCATAGTTTTTGAGTTTTAATTTTACCGCAAAAAGCCTTTAAACTTAAAAAATTCCTTAAGTTTTGAGGGAAATTCGATAGTTGGGTGCAGCAGAGATGTGAAATTTTTTAAAGAACTAAGAAAAACATTGAAGAAAACGAGGAAAAATCAACACTTTCGAAACGATAAAATAAAATCTGTTCCATAGTATTAAGGAAAAAAGAATATAATTGGAAAACACCGATATGGAGCACAAAAAGAATATTTTAATAGGATGTACAGGTTCAGTGGCGGCCATAAAACTCCCTGTCGTCCTCAATCTTCTTAAAAAGCGAGATCAGACCTTTCAGGTAAATATTGTTTTACGGTTCATCGATTTTTTTTACTTCACTACCACTCGCAATTTTTTTCCCCTTTTAGATAAGAGTCGTACTGACGGAGCGAGCAAAACATTTCGTTAATATGAATGAAATATCATCGATGGCTGAACTCTTTACAGACCAAAGTGAATGGCAAATCACAAAAGGACTAAATGAACAAAGCTTGCATCTGGAGTTAGTTCAATGGGCTGATATTTTTATCATATCACCACTTGATGCAAATACGCTTGGCAAAATAAGTTCAGGAATATGCGATAATCTTCTCACGTGTGTAGCTCGTGCTTGGGATTTACACAAGCCACTTCTATTTTGTCCCGAAATGAACACAAGACAATTTCTTCATCCAATCACTAACAAGCAGATTGAAGAAATGAAATTGTTCGGTTATTATGAGCTTCCATCGATATCAGAAACACTACTTACGGAAGGGAGTAGTGCTGGAGCTCTTTCTGAAATTAACTACATTATTGACGCAATTTTTAACCATGTTCAACAGCTACAAAATCAATTGGTCGGTGGAATGCAACAACATCAACATGATCAAAAATACAATCTCCATATGCATCACTCATCAGTACCATCGCCTTTGAACGACAGCAAGTCTTCGACAAGTCCAATGAGCGCGATTTTTCAACAAGCAGGAATCGGAGGAGTTATACAAATAAAACATAAATCTGAAAATTCTTCGTTTGGTGAAAAGCCGTTCACATGTGACGTGTGTGGAGGTGAGAACAAAATTTAACTTTAAAATATCAACATTTTCAATGATTTTTCTTCCAGGAAAATTCTCTCGTTACTCAAGCCTGTGGTCTCACAAAACATTACATACAGGTAAGTCATTAAAAGATTTTTCTTTTCGAAAAAGTTTTAATTTGCAGAAGAAAAAACATTCACAATTAAAGTTGTGAAAAAATGTTCAGTTTTTTTTCCTTTTTGTTCTGCAGTTAAGAATTTTATTTTCCAATTATATTTTTGTATGTTGGTTTAATAACAGGCGTTAAAAAATTTTTATGTGACATCTGTAATGCATCTTTCGCCAAAGCCAATTACTTAAATAATCATAAGAGGACACATACTGGGTAAGTTGATAGAAATGGGATTTAATTATTTCAACACGACACTGCATTTATTAATTAATTTTAAACATTTCTCTTTTTACAGTGAAAAACCATATATTTGCGGTAAGTTTAGAAATTCAACCACTAAATAATTAATAATTGATTAAATCCGATTCGATTCGATAGGAACATGTGGTCAGGGTTTTGCGCAATCAACTCATCTTAAAAATCACGAAAGGATTCATACAGGGTAAATAATTCAATTAAATAAATTTTGCGATTAAATATTTATTAAATTCATTACAAACTTAATTATTTCTTAAACTTATAGTGAGAAGCCGTTCACGTGTGAAGTTTGTAACAAATCTTTTGCGCGTTATTCAACACTTTGGAATCACCGACGTATTCACACGGGGTAATTATATTTGCTTTGTTTAAGAAGCTATAATTATTTTTTTTTTAATTTTTACATAGGGAGAAACCATACAAGTGCACTTGGTGTCAATCCGCTTTTTCGCAAGCAACTCACTTAAGAAAGCACGAAAAAGTTCATCTTGGTAAAATCTGTGAATTAAGTTCGTGATTTTATTGAAGTTAATTTAATTAATCATGCTTAGGAATCAAGCCATTCAAATGTGAATTGTGTAGCTCATCCTTTGCAGATCGTTTTGCGCTTCAAAGACATCAAAAGACTCATATAAAGATTGATGGTGGCTCTCTTTAGTTTCACATCATGTCAAACATTTAATTTTAATAAGAATTCTTTCTTCATTTAAAACTTTAATTGAAATAATTGAATTGAAATAAATTCTGAAAAATTATAAAAAATAAATTCATCTGAAGAAAGTGTAACATTTCAGTGACTTATTTTTCAGTATGTTTAGACAATTTCGATTAAAAATTGAAAAGTCGAAGAAACTGAAATATTGATGATGATGGTCAATGCTGACAATCTGATAAACTTTCGTTCTTAATGATAAAGTTTCTTCATGAAAAATCGATACTTTAAGAAAATTTAATAGAATTTGCTGAAGAACTTAAAGCTTTCAGACTTTTATTATTCATAAATACCTAATTTCTATGTTCTTGCTAAAATTTGAATCTTTCCGCTTTAGCACTTTAAGTCCTAACATTGCACTCACACTTTCAAAGATGGTTCAAAAAGATGCTAAAATATTAACGATTTAGCAGAGACCCCTTTAAAATTAAAGATTCCTGAAATGAATTCAAGTTTCTCACAAAAAAGATTACAGTATATACCACCAGAAAAAGGCTCGTTTCCTCTTGATCACGAAGGTGTTTGCAAAAGGTTTATGTTGGAATATTTCAGCTGTTTACAAGAAAATCGTGAAAACAACAGTGCATGTAGAGAACAGAGTAAATCTTATTTAGAATGCCGCATGAAGAATGGATTAATGCAAGAAGAAAGCTGGGAAAAATTAGGATTTAAACAAGCTAATAAAGAGTCAAAAGAAAATCAATCTTAGTGTTATTAGTCAGTTTACCATTGCATAAAAATTTCAAAACAAAATGGAACACGTAATAAAATATAAAAACATTTTAATTGGATGTACGGGCTCCGTTGCAACAATTAAATTACCAAATCTTATCAGTGAACTTAAATCAAGAGAGTCATCATTGAATGTGAGATATTGAGATTAACTTTTAAAATTTCTTGTTATGTTTTTGTTGTTTTTCATTTTCATTTAATTTTTAGATTAAAGTAGTGCTTACGGAAAAAGCAAAACAATTTCTAGATTTAAAACAAATTGAATCAACTGCTGAGGTGTTTTTGGATGAGAATGAGTGGAAAATGTGGAAGAACCGTGGTGATCCTATTCTTCATATAGATCTCGTCAAATGGGCTGATTTATTTGTGATTGCGCCGCTCGATGCAAATACACTTGGAAAGATGAGTTCGGGAATTTGTGACAATCTCCTTACTTGCATTGCTCGTGCATGGGATGTTGAAAAGCCTTTGCTGTTTTGTCCTGCTATGAATACAAGAATGTTCCTTCATCCAATAACAAGTCGACAAATTGAAGACCTTAGAGATTTCGGATATTACGAGATAAAGCCTATTTCAAAAACTCTAATGTGCGGTGATACTGGAGTTGGAGCAATGGCTGAAGTCAATGTTATAGCAAACCAGATAGCTTCTCACCTTAGTCTAGTTAAAGTCGAGCCAAACAATTCAAACCAATAGCATTTGAAATTAAATTCTCACTTTATTAATCGAAATGGATATAATAAAAGTCGATTTTTAATATTTAAAACATTCTATTTTCGTACTCTTTTTTAATATCATTATTAAAATAAACAACAATATTTCATGTTAAGGTTTTATGAGTTCCATCACAAAATGGCCTGTTCTTGGTTTGTTTACAGTTGCACAAATAATAATCTCCAGTCTTTTCCACTTTAAACTTTATCGGTTTCTGTTTGATCTTGAAGTGTACCATTCTATGAGTTCCATCACATAGTGGTTGACCATGTGATTTACCGCAAAGACACCAAACAAACACTTTGTCGGCAACCAAATGCATTTTAAATGGTTTCTTATCATATACGGCACCGTTTTCGTCTTGATAGTTTCCGTTTGTTCCCTCTGGAAGCATATTTTTTGGTATTTGACTACTACATAAACGCCTGACAGTCCAGTTTTGCAGCAAAGAAGATTTTCGAATTAAATTCATTTTTTACAAATATTTTAGATTGAAAATGAATTGAAAGTTGGGTAAAAGATGCGAAAAGTCTCAATTTCCCCATCTACGTTTGTGTCTTGGCTAATTTTTTCTCTTGCCTTTTAAATACCTAATCAAGAAAAACGTTCGATTTTTATAGTTTCATCAATTCATTACAATTCATTAAAAGTAATATCATAAAGAATTAATCCACGTCAACAAAAAATGAGGATATTATTTTCCTGTATGACTTTCAGAGAAATTATGGAACTTTATGGCCGCAAAAGAGAATTTTAAATAATTTGAATGAAATGAGGTTTTATTGATGAAATTAGATAAATTAAATTGTAAATCAGGTTTTATGAATCTTTACAATTGTTACTAATATTTTATTGCATATTGATAATTGGTAGCAATATGATTAAGAAATACATTTGAAATTCGAGATTCCGTGAGCTTTTAAAATATCCAGAAACTTGCAATCAGTTTTCAAAGCATTTGTGTAAAAATATACACATTTTGCAGAACCTGATGTAATAATAGCCTCATACTTATTATCCGAATTTGTAAGGAACACAGAACATAACATTAGACTCTTGCACATTTTCAATGAGTTGAAGATTTTTATGAATTGGTTTACGCTCAAAGTTAGGCAATCCATTTCAAAGCATTGAATATGAGACAAGTGCTTTGCGATATTCTCAACAAATTCGTCATCAGGATCAAACCAATACAATTTTATTTTGTAATATTTTCGATTCAGTTTAGAAATTTCTTTTTCCATAAAATTAGTTTCAGAAAGAACTAAAGGAAATTTCCGCATTGTTGAAGCGTAATTTCCAATAATGTTGTTCCATCTGAAAGTTTCAAATGATAAAGTTTTAATAAAATTAAATGAATATAACCTAACATTTTAACGTTTTTACCTTTTGCAAACTAAAGTTGAAGTTTTCAAATCGTTTGTGCCCAAATATTCGAAAATAATGAGCATTACATCTTCGCATAACACATTCATTGTTATTGCTTCCATTCTCAAAAGTCGTGAATGTTAATAGATCCAGGGAAATAATAATATGCAAACGATTGCTTGAACGATGTGATAAGCATTGATGTCTACCAAATGATCTACTTTTGATGATAATCAAGGGTTGAAAAGTGAAAAGCTATAATTCAAATTTTTTTAGACAGTTGACATTTATTTGAGATATTTTTCTGTCTCATATTTAGGTAGGTAAATGTCAATCAAAACAATATCTTATGAAAAATTTTAATATTCTGAAGAAATTCTTAATCGAAAAGTTTTCATGAAAAGTAGAAATAAATTGGGAAACATTCATAATAGACATGTCAAACTTATAAAATTAACATCAATCTTGTATTTTCTTGTTTTATTTTATGTATTCAGCACCGATTTAATTCTTTCATTCGATTGATCAGAAGTCCACTGGAAGTTCTAAATGATGAAAATAACAAAATAAATTCAATTTATTACATAACAAAAGCAATTAGGTATTCCACCACTGAATCGATGTTTGTTGTTGATTGGTGCGAATGCTTTTGAATGGTTAATTAATCGCTGTCTTAATTGATAACATTTTTAACATTTCTTTATTAGGTTCACAGAACTTTCAAAATGTCAACAATTCATCCCATTGTTGGGACAGCAATCAAATTTGATAAAACAACACGTAAAGGGACAATTTCACAATTTTTCTCAACATCATCTTGCGTGACTTGCGAGAATCCATGTCAAGAGAATTTATGCTCAAAGTGTAAGAGCGATTCACAGAAAACTGTTCTGGCAATCACCATGAAATCATTAAACATGGAAAGAAAGCTTTCTACAATAAAAAGTATTTGTTGCAGTTGTAGTTTGACACTGATTGCATTTCGTTAGATTGTCCTGTGCTTTATGCTTAATACAGATCCAAACGAGATTATAATCAAATCAATATTTAAGAGAAGATTTAGATGATGAATTTTGAATAACAAGTGAACATTTTATTTAAGCTTTCATTTTTAAGTTTTTAATATTTAATACAGTTTGAATTTATGAAGATTTTCAATTATTATATAATTCTTCCAATTACGCCACTCAAATCAACAAAAAATCCTAAATTTGATAAAATCGTTATAAATTCATCAGGAAGTATATTTAATGGAATTTGTTCCATGGTTTTAACGCACGAACCACCAATGCTGTATACATATGTCCTAGAATTCTCGTTAATGAATAATTTTACACCCTTCATAGTCAGTTTGCTGCATATTTTCAATGAGTTGAAGATTTTTATGAATTGTCTTGTTTTTAACCATATCGAATCCATTTCGAAGCATTTCACATAAGTCAAGTGACTTACGATATTTTCAACGAGATTGTCATTGTCAAGTTTTAAGCCATTCAATTTTATTGTATGATATTTTCTAATCAGTTCCGGAATTTCCTTATCCTTATTAGTTTCGTCAAAAACCAGAGGAAGATTTCGCATTGTCGAAACGTGATTTCCAATAATGTCGTTCCAACTGAAGTTTCAAATGATTAAATTTTAGTAAAATTTAATGAACATAACCTAACATTTTAACGCGCTTACCTTTTGCAAACTAAAGTTGCAATCTTCAAGTCGTTTGTGCCCAAATATTCGAAAATAATGAGCAGTACTTCTCCACATAACGAATCTATTGCTATTCCTTCCATTTTCAAATATAGTAAGTGTTAATAGATCCAAGAAAATAATAAATTGAGCAAACGATTGCTTGAAAGATGTGATAAGCATTGATGTCTACCAAATGATCTACTTTTGATGATAATCAAGGGTTGAAAAGTGAAAAGCTATAATTCAAATTTTTTTAGACAGTTGACATTTATTTGAGATATTTTTCTGTTTCATATTTAGGTATGTACCTATCTAAATGTTTATCAAAACAAGATCTTATGAAAAATTTTAAAATTCTGAAGAAATTCTTAATCGAAAAGATTTCATGAGAAATAGAAATAAATTGGGAAACATTCATAATAGACATGTCGATCTGACAAAATTAACATCAATTTCCGGCAAATCTTTGTCGGTAGTTCTTATAAAAAACAATTTTGATAAAAAAACAAATAGGTAGGTATTTTGAGTTTTTATTCTTATGTTATTATTACTACATAAGCATGCATAAGCATACATTCATTGTGAGCTTCACCAACACATAAAAGCTCTCAATTTTAATACTAAAATATTTTTTTACATGAATGAAAAGAAGATTAAAATGTTCAGGAAAAGAAAAATATAAAAAGAGAGATAGATACTCAAAAGCGACAAGAAGAAACTTCTGTTTACTTGTGTGATTCATAAACATAGAGAATTTCATCACAATTGTGGGAAAACCCTTTCAATAATGTTTACACATAATGTCGCCAAGAATTGATTATTAGAACGACGCGTGATTTAAGTTTGGTTGATCTTATCATTGAATGATTTGGTTATTCTAATCATTCTCAATGTCATCAACAAAATCATTTTTAAAGTGATTCTTAATTAAGAATACTTCATACCATTAAATTAAAATATTTAATTAAATTCCACCAGAACATGAAATAATCGCATCTTCTCAGAAAACAAACAAAAAAAATTCATATGGAAGTCAAGGTTAAAGTGCAGACGGAAATCTTTCAGCAGAATTCTATCAAGTGATTATTATTCTCTACATACATATTGGAATTAGGTATATTGCAAAATGATTTTTTTTTTGTGTGTTCGATTTTATACTGCAAACTACACATAAATTCTTCGATGAATGTATGAGAGCTTCTAAAAATACAAACGCTGTCGAATATCAAATTATAAATTGCGATGTTAGAGAGAAAAAGATGGAAAAAAAAACATGCGTACAAAAGTATTCGTCGCTTTTCAGTGTTAGTTTAGAAGTTTTGGCTATTGGAAGCGTCAATTAAAAATAAAAGGATTTTCAGACAAAATGGGTAGAATAATTAAGTTTTGATATTCTCAAGTTTGTATCTAAGAAACTCTTAAAATGGTTTCAGATAAAGATGCTCCTCCACCGTCATATAATGAAACGAAAATGATGTTGAATCCATCGGCTCCGATGGCGCAAGGTGGAAATTATCAACCAGGATTTAATCAGCAGCCACCTGTACCTGCAGGATGGCAACAACCAACTCATCAGCAATATCCTCAATATCCTCAATTGCCTCAGAATCAAAATTACCCAACACAACCAAATCCACAATTCCCTGTTATCAATCAACAGCCTTTAGTTGTTGGAACAGGAGCGCGTAAATATTTTAAATACATTCACAATTAAATTATTATTCAAGTTCATATCTTTCAGCTGTTGTCATTATCAACTCCCAACCTATTTATGGGCAACATCCATGTGTTGTTGCTTGTCCCCATTGCCATGAACAAGTGTCTACTAAAGTTACACATAAAATCGGAGTGGTGAATCATATTCTCGCTGGTGTACTGTGCTGTATGGGGTAAATAAACAATTTTTCAATGTTTAATTGCATAATGTAACGATTTATATGAAATTTTCAGATTATGCCCATGTGCCTTGATTCCATATTTGTGTGGTGACTGCCTTAGCGATGTTGAGCACAAGTGTCCAAAATGTAACGGCTTCATTGGGTCATACAGTCCCATGAATTCAAATCGTCGTTACTACAACGATCCATACAATCGCCGTCATTACTAAAAATGTGATTGATGTACCAATGTCAACGGCCTTGAGAATATTACAAGGAATTTAAGTATCTAATTTTGAATATTTTATTTACTTGTAAAGTGCATTTACTTATAAACATTCTATCTGCCTCATTGGATTCCTCATAAAAGGGGAATTTTTGAAATATGTGTATCTAAATATGAAATTGAAAAATTCAGTCAAATGAAATAAAAGTCTCTCAATATTTAACTCTCAGAAAACTCTTTTTTATTTTTTTGTTGGTGTGTTAAAGTGTTAAACTTGATGGTCTTTGAAAAGTGAAACTAGTAACTCTTTAGGTTTTACTTTGATCGCACTTTGAAATCATCACTTCAACATGGGCAAGTTATTTGACAAACGAATTAAAGTTTGAAGTGTTGAAATAATTTCGTGATGTTTGTAGATTCAGGCCATGAGAAAGTTCCATATCCACCAGCTTATAATGATATTTATCCAGCAGTTTCCCCCCCTGAATCTAGTGGAAAAGCCATGGGATGGCAACCAGCTAGAGCTGGAAATGCTATCGTTCAACAACCTACTTCTGATGTAACGCCACGGCCAACTCCAAATGTAGCAGTAACAGGTTATTAATTAACAGCATTCTGCTAAACTTATTATTTTCATTAAGAAATTTAATAGTTCCAAAGATGCTACATCGCTCAAATATTGGACTATATCCAGTTAAACTTCAACCATGCCCACATTGCCAGAAAGAATGTAAAACTACAACTAAAACAGAGGCAACAATGCGAACTCATCTGTTTGCTTTTATTTTGTGTGTCAGCTGGTAAGATCAAGTTCAAAGTGCTTCAATTAATTGTTTTAATCAGATCATTTGTATTTCGTTTAATTACAGTTGTTGCTTTTGTGTTCCCCTTCCATATTTGACAAATAACGCAACGAAGATCACAAATCATTTCTGTGTAAGCTGATTCTAAATATTTTGATTTCAAACTTACGATGCTGAATTCAAAACTTTTTCATTATAGGAAAATTGCAAGTCATATATTGGAACATATTCAAGAAGATTCTGTTGTTGTGGATAATAATTTAATGAAAATCTTTGTTTACAGTATTTAAGGTGTGATCTTTATATAAAATAATAAAAAGCTCTTTTCATTGGTATAAACTTTAGACAATAAAATGAAAGCGAAATGAATATTTCACATTTCATCGTTCAATATCGTTAGGTTGTGAAAAAACTTGTTATTTGAGCTTTTCAATTGTGTGAGTAAATATTAAAAAGCTTTCTAAGCTTCTACTTAAAAGCTTCTTTGAAGAAGAAAATCTAGTACTGCAATGAGTGTAAGCTTTTTAACCATTTTCATGTGAAAATTCTTTTTCATTCAATATTTTCATATAGATTGACAAACATTTTAATGCATTTATTGTAATAAAATCAAATTTATTTTCAATGTGGAATATTTATGAATTTCAATTCTGTTAAGTATTTTCACACCGAATGTTGATTATTTTTCGTAAAATGTGTACAAAATTTGAGCCAATACTAATCCAAAAATGAGAGAAATGTTGGTTGAAATCATTCCAGCATTTCCTGTTAACAATCAAAATTGAGTTTATCATTGTAAAAAAGAAATAAATTTTCAAATTTACCTTCATATTGCGCTTGGAAAAGATCACCTCCAACCAATGTCAAAGTGAAATTTCCCATCAGATTTCTAGTTGAAGTTAATGCACGATCGGTTTCCGAGTTTGGTAGATTGGCAGTATCCAAAGCAATTGTAGAATTTTGTTTGAAAAGAAGGAAAATATATCGATGTAAACCTGTTCCTTCAGGAGGTCCCGATCCACGATAACTAACAACTTCTTCGCCAGATGTTAAATTATTCGCGACAATGTTGACAACCAACCAATGTCTGATTTCTCTTCTTGTCGCGTTTACACGTGATGGTGCGTCAGGATCTTGATTTATTAGAAAGGAAAATTAATATTGTGTTAATATTTAATGTATTTCAATCTACCTGTCATCAATAAAGCATAGTAACCGCCATCAATTAGGTTCCATCCGACAGTTGGTGCTTTTTCTACCTCAGAAGGTTTCAGTTCATTACCCAGAGAAACTTTTAAGCCCGTTTCATATGTTATGTTCAGGGACTTTAAGTCGTCTGGCAACGTATCAAGAATATCTGGGACAACTTCAAATTCGGTAAATTTATCATTCACTTCAGATGCTTCACTCCGATAAATTGCCACGAAAAGTGTAAATGCAAACAACAATCGTTTTCTTAAAGACATGTCTGATAACGGCAGCAGTGAAATTTTTATTTTAATTGTGACTCGAATGAAGTTCGAAACTATACTGAAAATATTTTAGCCACAAAATATTGAATCAATATTTGAACAATGTACTTAGATATCTCCCAATTACTTTTAATCTAACCGTTAACTGATAATATGAATGTTTTATTTCGTATCATTCGTTATTTGTGTTTGATATAGCGATTATTTAGAGATACTACATTTTAGTTTCGACATGATTTTTGACTTTTGTAAATAGATGAACGTGTAGTTCTTGTCATATCTTCATTGATTATGTTTGCACGATTCAATAATTTTGCTCATATTTTCAACTATGAAATAATTATGAAGAAAATTTTATAAATAAGATTAGATATAAAATAAGTCCAATAAGTTTGATTTACATCACAGGATACGTGTATCAAATAATCAAAATGATGATTAATTGTGCAAGTTTTTAGATTAACTCGAATGGGTTAATCTAAACTTAATCTAACCTCAATCTAACTCTTACATCTCATTTAATCTAACTCCGTTATTTGTTTACATTTCTCAGATAAACTTTCAAGAACAAGAAATTTAGAAATTAAGCCGAAAATAATGGAAGAAAGCGAAAATAATATTTTATCTATTAAAATTGTGAGTGTTGATCACTACAACTCCTTTCCTATACCAAATTTAGATTCAAATTATTCAGAATTTCGAAATTGTTCGGTGAAATATGTTCCTGTGATAAGAATTTTTGGAATTACACAAAATAAGAAAAAGGTGATATCAAAATGTAATGAAATAGTTTCATCATGAACAAATAATGAATGTAGTTGGTTATTAGATTTGTGCAAATGTTCATGGAGTGTTTCCTTACTTCTACATACCATGCGCGGAAATTGATCATGAAAAGATCACCAAATTAATGAATGATCTTGCCGAACAGATTGATAAATCAATTAACACCTCTTTAGGACAATCAAGCTCTAAAAATCAACACATTTACAGAATATCTTTGGTGAAAGGAATGTAAGTTGTTAAATTTTTCTTAATCATTTCGAGTAATTATGAAATAAATTTGCAGACCTTTCTATGGCTATCACCAAAACGAACATCAATTTCTGAGACTTCAATTATACAATCCAAATCTCGTGAAGAGAACTTCAAATCTCCTTCAAAGTGGGACAATCATGAGCAAACAATTTCAACCACACGAGTCTCATATTCCTTACATTTTGAAGTTCTTTATTGATTACAATCTGTTTGGGATGAGTTATCTTCATGTTCCGCTTCAATTTGTTCACGCAAGAAATCCAGACGACAATACCAGATATCGAAAGAGATCCGTGTCGGAGATTGAAGTCGATTTCAAAGCAATTCACATTTTAAATCGTTTAGCAGCAACTGAAGAAAGTTCTGCAAACAAAGCTGCAAATCCAGGGATTGAGTCGATCTGGGAAGATGAAAGACAACGACGTGAAGTGCTAGAAGCAGCTCCACCAATGGAATCTGAGATTTCACAAGAACGAAATTGTCCAGCAACTAAAAGTGACATTTTTTATCAAAGCATTTTAAGAGAAAAAGTTATTGAAGGATCTCAAAATTCAACAATGTTTGAAGAATCTTTTTCAAATGAAATCGCATCGTCGTCTGTGAAAGATAAAAAGAAAACTTTTAACTTGAAGAATTTCCTCGATTCTTCAGTTTACGCTGCTGAATTTTCACAAAGTTCATCAACAACGTCAACAACGTCAACAAGTCAACAACAAGAAAGTGAAGTGAAATCATCATCAAATGAATCACAAATTTTGCTCCATAATCTTGAAGAGAATTTCTTAAACTTCTCAGAACCAAACGAGGAAGATGAAGAATCAAAAATTATAAAATTACTTGAAGACATTCCCGATGAAGAGTTTGATGATGACAGCGTGTTGGCTCCTTTCACACAAGTCAAATGTGAGAATGAAGTGCTGTCGAATTCCTTAAAAGTTGATGAGAGTGATGATGATGAAGACGAGAATTTCAATGCATTGAATGTGACTTTAGCTGACATGGAAATGTTTAGTCAATATGTAAAAGATGAAGAGGAAATAATTCCGCAACTTGACGGTGTTGATGATGAAGAACAACAATTGTCACCATCAGAATTAACAAAGCTAAGAGACCACGAAAGAAATTTCCATCCTCAGCCAGGACCTTCAAGACTTTTCATTCCACCAGTTCGTCAAACTCCATCAAATGACGATGCAAATAATCAACAAATTCATAGTCATTTAATGGAACTTGCGAAAAGTTTCAATAAATTTCCCGACAATGTTGAGAAAGTTGAAGATTCGCCAACTTCAATCTCAGATGATGATGAACTTGTGAAGAGTTTTTACAATCAAACGATGATGATTGACGAGTTTGAAGAGTCTGAAGAATCGTCAGAAGCATTGACTGAAGAAGTTTTAAATAAAACAGTAAAAATGGAATGTGATGACGATGAAGTTGCAGTTATGAAGCCATCATTTGATCCACCAAGTCCAAGTGATGTGATGAAGCGACTTGAAGAATTTAAAATCCCAAAACACTCAAATCCAACACTTTTCTATTCAAATCCCAAAGATGTGACAAAAAGGAAGGAAGTTGGTCATAATCTTCTTGAAATTCCTGGCAAGCGATTGTGCGATCTTGAAACTTTCAAATCTTCTTTGTTTGTTGATTATGAAAAATTGAAAGAAATTAAAAATGAAAGAAGAAGAAATGAAATTGTGATTTGTCCTTACAACGATCCGCCGTCGTATCGTGATGCTGTTAAATGGCTTAAGACAGGAAAGACAGAAAAGGAAGAAGATGAAAGTCCAGTGAAAGATAAACGTGAGAAGACGATCATGATGCTTGAAGACGATGAAGAAGCTGAAGCGACTTTAATTCCATCATCACAACCAATGGAAGAAGCAACGACAACACCTGAAATTATTCAAAGTTCATTAGAAAAAGATTCGTCAACACTCTCCGAATTCATCGAGGATGGTTTGTACTTGAGTTACAGTGCGAGGAAGAAACGAATGAAGAAAAGTTTTAGCAGAAGATTTCAAGAAATTATGAAAGCAAAAGTGGTAGAGGCTGAAAAAGTTTCTTCACAATCTTCGTCAGTTTCTGAGGTTGACAAAGCTTCGGAAACTCCTGAAAGTTCCAGCAGTAATCATTCGATCATTGTTAAAGACGCAAACATCCAAGAAGATTCAAGCAGCTTCAACAACAGCAATTGCGACATTACCGGGCCAACACTCAACAATACTTACGGCTTTAAGATGAAATTGGAGAGTTTACAATCAAATAACGAACACACCGACTTGACAATTCTTTCAATGGAACTTCATGTTCAAACTCGTGATGAATTTAAACCAAATCCTGAGTTTGATGCTGTTTCAGCGATTTTCTATTCACTTGATGGATATTGCGGTGGATCAAATAAAATAGTTAATGGAATTATTGCCTTTGTTGATGATAAAAAGAACTTTCGATACATCAAGCAAGATGTTGAAGTTATTTTGGTTGACTCTGAAATGGAAGTTTTTGAAGTTTTCTTTCAAAAGATTCGTGACTTTGATCCTGACATAATTGCTGGGTATGAGATTGAAACAGCGTCGTGGGGTTATCTGGTTGAACGTGGCTACGTTCTCAACATGAATCTCAACAATGCCTTGTCAAGAATGCCACTCGACAAAGGTGAAAAAGCGAGATCAGCTCAAACATTAGATGATGACGAACATCATCACGACATGGGCGATTATCATTCAGAACAGAAAATTCCTGGACGAATCCAACTCGATGTGTGGCGTTTAATGAAACACGAAATCGCATTGACATCTTACACATTTGAAAACATTTCTTATCACGTTCTTCATCGAAGATATCCAAAACACTCCTTCAGTCTCTTAACGTCATTATGGAAGCAGCCATTGAAGTGTTGGATCGTTCTCGATTATTACATCGATCGAGCGAAAACTTTAATCGAAATTCTTCAACAACTCGATTTGATTGGACGAACATGTGAACTTGCCAAACTCTTTGGGATTCAATTTTATGAAGTTCTCTCACGTGGTTCGCAATTTCGTGTGGAAAGTATGATGATTCGAATAGCAAAGCGAAGGAATTACGTGCCAGTGTCGCCGAGTGTTCAACAACGAGCACACATGCGAGCACCTGAATACATTCCATTGATTCTCGAACCTGAATCGAGATTCTACAACGACCCAGTCATTGTTCTTGACTTTCAAAGTCTTTATCCAAGCATCATCATTGCTTACAATTATTGCTTCTCAACATGCCTCGGACGTGTCGAACATTTAGCGAAAGCTTCATCACAACCATTTGAATTCGGAGCTTATCAACTTCGAGTGACTCCAAAGAAGTTGAAATTCTTAATCGAGAATGATCTAATCACAATTTCACCATGTGGCGTTGCTTTCGTTAAAGCTTCAGTGAGGGAAGGCGTCTTGCCTCGAATGTTGAGTGAAATTCTAAGCACACGACTTATGGTGAAACAATCGATGAAGATTCATAAAAATAATTCAGCACTTCAACGTGTTTTACATTCGAGGCAACTTGGATTGAAGCTCATTGCGAACGTCACTTATGGTTACACAGCAGCGAATTTCAGTGGACGAATGCCAGCGATTGAAGTCGGTGACAGTGTTGTGAGTAAAGGACGAGAAACTTTAGAACGGGCGATAAATTTAGTCGAGACAAACAAGAAGTGGGGTTGCCGAGTTTGCTATGGTGACACTGATTCAATGTTTGTTCTGGTTCCGGGACGATCAAGAGAAGAAGCTTTCAAGATTGGCGCAGAAATCGCTGACGCTGTGACAAATGACAATCCACATCCCGTGAAATTAAAGCTTGAGAAAGTTTATCAACCTTGCATTTTGCAAACAAAGAAACGTTACGTCGGTTACATGTACGAAAGTGCTGATCAAAAAGATCCAATTTACGAAGCGAAAGGAATTGAGACAGTTCGTCGTGATGGTTGTCCAGCAGCGGTGAAGATGCTTGAGAAGACGTTGAGGATTCTTTTCGAGACTTATGACGTTAGCAAAGTTAAGGAATATGTTTGTAGACAATTTAGAAAGATTCTTGCTGGTCGTTGCAGCATTCAGGACTTGCTGTTTGCGAAGGAATTTCGAGGCATTAATGGATACAAAGAACGAGCGTCAGTGCCTGCTTTAACGTTGACTAGGAAGTGGAAAGCTTCAGATTCACGCAACGAACCGAGAAGAGGCGAACGCGTTCCTTTTCTGATTGTTAATGGAGCGCCAGGATTGCCTTTGATTCGATTGGTCAGAAGTCCACTGGAAGTTTTAAATGATGAAAATTATAAAATAAATTCAATTTATTACATTACAAAAGCAATTATTCCACCACTGAATCGATGTTTGTTGTTGATTGGTGCGAATGCATTTGAATGGTAAGTTAATCGCTTTTTTAATTGATAACATTTTTAACATTTCTTTATTAGGTTCACAGAACTTCCAAGATGTCAACAGTTCATCCCATTGTTGGGACAACAATCGAAATTTGATACAACAACACGTAAAGGGACAATTTCACAATTTTTCTCAACATCATCTTGCGTGACTTGCGAGAATCCATGTCAAGAGAATGTATGTTCAAATTGCAAAAGCGATTCACAGAAAACTGTTCTGGCAATCACCATGAAATCATTAAACATGGAAAGAAAGCTTTCGTCAATAAAAAGTATTTGTGACAGTTGTTGTCGAAGAAATTTTGACACTGATTGCATTTCCTTAGATTGTCCCGTGCTTTATGCTTCATACAGAGCCAAACGAGATTATAAACAAGTTCAATATTTGAGAGAAGTTCTAGATGATGAATTTTGAATAAAAAGTGAACATTTTATCAAGTTATAAATATATAAAAACAGTTTGGATTTATGACAATTGTAAATGATTATTTTTTATAGATTTATTAATATTCATGTCTTGTTTTGTCGTCGACCTTCAGAAAAAAAATAACCGGATATCTAGTCAAGAAGGGTTAAAAAATCTCCAACATAAAAGGAATTCCATCTATCGGCCAATCCTAAATTTGATAAAATCGCTATAAATTCATCAGGAAGTATATTTAATGGAAGTTGTTCCAAGGTTTTAACGTATGAACCACTTAAGTTATATCATGGGACAACAATCGAAATTTGATACAACAACACGCAAAGGGACAATTTCACAATTTTTCTCAACATCATCTTGCGTGACTTGCGAGAATCCATGTCAAGAGAATTTATGCTCAAAGTGTAAGAGCGATTCACAGAAAACTGTTCTGGCAATCACCATGAAATCATTAAACATGGAAAGAAAGCTTTCTACAATAAAAAGTATTTGTTGCAGTTGTAGTTTGACACTGATTGCATTTCGTTAGATTGTCCTGTGCTTTATGCTTAATACAGATCCAAACGAGATTATAATCAAATCAATATTTAAGAGAAGATTTAGATGATGAATTTTGAATAACAAGTGAACATTTTATTTAAGCTTTCATTTTTAAGTTTTTAATATTTAATACAGTTTGAATTTATGAAGATTTTCAATTATTATATAATTCTTCCAATTACGCCACTCAAATCAACAAAAAATCCTAAATTTGATAAAATCGTTATAAATTCATCAGGAAGTATATTTAATGGAATTTGTTCCATGGTTTTAACGCACGAACCACCAATGCTGTATACATATGAACCACTTATGACGCCTATTTCACGACAGTCGTCGACGAAAAATTCTACATCCTGCATAGTCAGTTTACTGCCCATTTTCAAGCAGTTGAAGATTTTTATGAATTGGTTTATTTCCAACGTAATCCAAACCATTTCAAAGCATTTCACATAAGTCAAGTGCTTTACGACATTTTCAAAGAGATTGTCATCAAGTTCAAAACGTTTCAATTTTATTGTATGATATTTTCGAATCAGTTCCGGAATTTCCTTTTCCTTATTAGTTTCGTCAAAAACCAGAGGAAGATTTCGCATTGTCGAAACGTGATTTCCAATAATGTCGTTCCATCTGAAAGTTTCAAGTGATAAAATTTTAGTAAATTAAATCAACATAACCTCACATTTTAACGCGCTTACCTTTTGCAAACTAAAGTTGAAGTTTTTAAATCTTTTGTGCCCAAATATTCAAATACATTGAGCAGTTCATCTTCACATAACGAATCTATTGTTTTTCCCTCCATTTCTAAGAGTAGTAAGTGTTAATAAATCAGAGAAAAATAATTATTTTGAAGCGATTGCTTGAGTGATGTGATAAATACTGATATCTACCAAATGACAGTTATCAATTTCAAAGTTTTTGCATTTACTGCTGTGCTAAAGATGCAAAAAGTTTCAAGCTCCTCTCAAACAACAATTTTGCGTCTTTGCTTGTTTTGTTTACAAATTTTTAAACCAAATAAGTAGATACCTACCTACATATAATAGAAAAACATTTTTAATTTTTAAAAAAAGAATTAAGCATAATATCCTGTGACACATGGAAGAAAAGCTTCTTCACCCTTATTTATTACAAAATAATGAATTAATTATGCTCATTAAAGAGGTGAGGTCCACACACAAAAGTATGGATTTCCTGTGAAATTCAAGATAAGATATGGAAATCAGATTAACATTTTTTTATAACTCTTATCTTTTTAAAGCGGGAATTGAATATTTCAAACTTGGAGCAACTTGAACGAACAGAACTTATGGATGTTTACAGGAAACACATAATGCCAAAGCCTCAACGACGTCAAAAGCAAGAGAAGAAAAGCGTTGAGTCAAATGGCGAGACTGTTTTACTGGTGAATGAAGTAAAAAAGATAAAACTAAATAGACTTAATAGTCAAGAACTGTCAATGGATTGTACAACAAATGATAAAGCAAACAATGCTCAATGTATTAATGATAAGAAACGACTGCTCCCTGATTCTAATCAAAAAGTAAGATTCAATTTTGCTTAATATTAAATATTTAAGTTTATTGTTTGTCTTTTCAGAACACAAACAAAAGGCAGAGAATTCAATGGCCATGATATGAGAGTTTTAATATTGACCATTATTGTAAATATCTACTAATGACAAATAAAGTATTTTGACATTAAGAAATCTATTGACTATCCAACAACTGATCGACATTTCCTGAGTCAATAACAAAATCATAGAACATCTCAACGATACTGGTTGGAATTGGAAGTTCATCAGTGTCACATGTAATAAAACTGAAGCAGCTTTGTTTTAATAATTTGGAATTGACATTCACGAGATCTTGAGTGGCTGCAATGATCGTTGCAAATATTGAAGGAATTTTTTCAAGTGAAGTTGTATGATCGTACCATTGATGCTGAAAAATGAAAATTTATGTTTCGATTTTCATCCTTTAGTGTGAAAGTAAACTTACCAATGACTCCACTATCAAGAATTTTGGAATACTTGTTGATGAATCTAATTCTAATAGTTTATCAAGCACTTTTTGATAACTACCACAATACATGAATCTTATCAGAGATCTTTTTCTTTCCTCTAATTTACTAAACAAATCCTTCGCTTCTTCATCTGTCAGTATAACTTTTGTGACGATTACAATTTTTTCATTATATTTTTTAGCGAAGAATGTCGCAATCTGAAATAAAAAAATTCCTTTTACTTACCAAGAATTTCTTAAAGAAAAAAGTGGCACTTACTTGTGCTATCAACTCTCTAGAAGATGCCTCTGATGGTTTCTTTAATAAATAGTTGTAATTTTTATTCTTTTCTGCGAGATTCATTTTTAAAGTTTTGCGGGAAGATTTGTTTATTATGAAAGAAGGTAAGACATCTTACGATGACGTCATATTTAAAATTTTCAAAATCGTTAATTTCCGAAATCTTCAATTAATCTCTGCAAAGAAAATTGTAGATATTAAAGAGCAATCCATTCAATCAATCAAATATCAACATTTATTCGGTTGTCTTAATATTTCGCGATTACAATTATTTAGCATTCATTATAAAATAGACTCTCCAAATTCCCATTAACTTCCCATGCCATTTTCCATGCAATTCAATTCTATTTAAATGCATTTCACATTTTGACGACTCTAATTTAAAAATTTGGTAGGGTTAAAGGCGTTTTCTAATTAATATTTTTATTGTAGATTAGTTAATTTTGCAACGCTAAGGAATCTTCAGTTACTTTTTATAAATTGAAATCGCTACTTTATTATAATCTCACAATAATTGAAATTTTTTCAAAAATAATTAAATCTCAAACCAGAAAAGCAAAACAATCACCAAAACACGTTGGAAAATCAACACCAAAAGAAAAAAAAATTCAAAATTGATTGGAAATGTGAAAGAAACTGATTAAAATAATTAATACTTCTTAGATATTTTTTGGGAATTAAATGAATAATTTTTCGTTCTTGTTTGATCTGTGATCAGATTACAAATAAGCCACGATTTTCACTTCAAGCAATTGAATCATTTTACCTAGCCAGGCTTCTTGTAATACCTACTTTTATTAAATTGGCTTTAAATATAATTTCAATTAGGTACGAACATCGCTGACTTATAAATAACGTTTTCTTATATTGATTTAACTATTAATCGCGAGAAGATTGGTAGATAGAATGGTAGATAGAATGGCAAATTTTTCTTATTTATATCTCTGCTAGATAATTATTCAAAAATGATTATAATTCTCGTATATATGAATGAAGGAAATTTTTCTTATTTATATTTTATAATAACGACAAGCAGCTTATGTTAATCCATTTCATGTTAGTGAATTATTTGTTTGTCAACAGCTGTTGCTAGTTGCATTTGTTTTGACTTATCACTAAACAGATGTTTCATCGTTGTCTGTCAACTCATCAATACGATTCAATCTCCATGCGTTGATGTCGTTTGCTATAATGAAGAAAAAGAAGGAAAAATGTAACATTTCAGAAAGAAAAGGAAGGAAATTCAATTTTTAAGAATATAAAGATTGTCTTCATCTTATTTTCTAGAAATTTATTTGAGAAGTTCTATGGAAGAAAAACTTTTACAATTTTTTGCTTGCTAAAAATGAATAAAATGTGCTTTTGAACCACCCACAAAAAAAAAAGGGGGAAAACTCACCACAATAATAATATTTTGATATCCTAGGTAGAGCTAAGAGGGATGCATATAGAAAAATGTTTTAAATAAAAGTCATCAACTATCATTTCTATTATTATAAATGCAAAAGTTTCATTTCGGATAACGTCTAACAATTTTCAATAAAGAAATAGGAAATTCAATTATCTTTAAAAGAAAATAAGAAAAATGTTTAAAGATCATAAACTAAATAACTAGTCTACTTAGTTGGCATAATTAAGTGTAGATGTAAGTATGAAAAACTTAATTCAAATTCATCTCAGACCAATGAGTGTTTTGCTTACTAATGTTACAACAAGATAAGAGGAATAACATTTGGATAATTAATGACTGAATGAATACATAAGTGATTGAATGAAACTTTCGGTAAAAAGTAATTGATTTTGTGAGAAAGTTTTTGAAAGAGATTAATTGCGCAACTACATGAATAACAAGAAGGCGTATCATAAGTTAACATGACATTTTATTCCAACAATGATCGAATGACTCATTAGATATAACTAACCAATTAAAAATGAACAAACACAACTCAATTTATTAATCTAAACTTTCATATTAATTGGAATAAATGATAACTTAGCTTAATCACGCTGATAATTACTGATAGAACTTACCATGGCTTAAAAAGCTTTTTTAAATCATAAGAGAAGTTTACATTTCAGCGACAGCAGTTTTCTTCTTGTCTTTCTTCTTCGTCTGACCTTTTACCGCAACTTGACTGGCGCTGGTTGTTGTTTCACTTTCACCGTCAAAATTCACGATAATGTTATTATTGAATGTTCCACTGACTTTATATTGATTGAGTCGTGACCGCATAATATGAGCCGGAGTATTGCTTGAGAGTAAAACTGGTGACATTGGACGCGGCTGATCGCTATTATCAATTAAACCATGGCCATTTGTCACGTTATTGGAAATATTTATTGATGTGGCTGCATTTGGCGTTTGGTGCTTCGAAGCGGCCATTGACGGCGTGATTAAGGGAACATGCTCAGGATTTTCAGCTAATATGTCACATTTAACATTCAATTTTAACATCAACCAAAGGATAAATTAATCACAAATTGTTTGCGATAACAAAGAACATATTTTGGAGCGGTGAATTAAAAGAAACAAATGAGAAAAAAAAGAAGAAAATAATTTAAGTTTTCATGCTTCCACTATGATGATTTTTAATGTTTAAAAAATAAAATTTTTAAAGATTCTGATGGAAAAGTTTAAAATAAAATAAAAAATATCCATTCAGGATTATTTTACTTTGCTTTTTCGTCATTCAAACATTCAGAAGCTTGAAGCGGATAATCGAATGAAAATTTCTGATTTATTGTATCCGCAATTCACTCACCTTGCAGTTGTTTATTGATTAAAGCTGTAAGTCCATTTCCTTGGTTATCTACTGACTTCTTCATCAACAACATCGGTTTGTCATCATCATCATATGCTCGATGTGATGTTACGAAGCCATTGCTTTGAGCCATCGTTTCACTGACCTACATTTTCATTTTAATTAATTTGGAAGAATAATTTTACATGACAATCAATTAAAGAGTTACCTGCGAAACTTGCATCAGCTTTTTCACAACATCTCTACCAAGAATATGATCGAAAACAACTTGAAGAAACTCATCGGTAATGATGGAAAGTTTCAGTTTATCACGATGCCAAATGAGAAGCTTCGACTCATCAATAGCCGTGATAGAAACTTGAAAGTAATCATCTGTGCTTACGCCAAAGTATTCTGGTGAATCAAGAAATTGATGTGGGAAAACAATGTGAAGAGCTTTTTGGTTTTGTGAAACGACAAATCTGAAGAAAAATGAAAATGAAAACGAAGGTAAAACGATTTAACAAGAGATTGATGAATAAACTCACTTTCCAGATAAAACCAACGATAAACTATCTACTTTTGTGATTTTTTCCTGAACATAAATCTCTTGATGCTTTAGTTGACGAACAGCCTTTAGACAGCTTAAGATTTTCTTGAATCGTCTCCTTGACACTCTTAGAGGCTTAAATAAAGCAACATAAACCTAAGAAAAAGAAAGAAAAGTGATGACACGAGTGAACACTTCTGATTGTAATGATAAATAATATTTAATGACTCGTTTATTGTCGTCTTTCAGTTTTTTTGTTCGTACTTCGTACTTCGCGTTTTTTCATTCAACACATTGCCGCCTTAGCAACAAGCAAGCAACTCAATTTTATTTTATATTTATATAAAACCCGTTCAAACGCCTTAATTCTCTTTTTTTTATTATATTTGCTTTTATGTCTGTCAGAGGCGCTTACATACCCGGCACATGCACGTAGTAAAACATTTCATTCACTTTGCTGCACATTGCATCAGTTAATTGTGTGATTTCTTTTCGTTTCATACTTGAAATGTGCCATGCACAATGTGCCATGTACAAATGTAAATTATGTTTCGCATTTTATCTTCAAGGTTTATTAACTGCTTGAACTTTGTCTTCACGAATAAGGAAAAGAAATTTATTTCGTTTAACTCTTTCGATGATTTTGTTTGACGCCAAATGTCGATTTTTATCAAGAATTTCTCACATTACGGGCTTGTCTTTGGGTTTTTTCTTACTACATGACTTCTACTTCCATTTGTGGCAAGTTATTTACTTATTTACTGAACCCAAACTGAGTCGCTTTGATATTTGAAACTTCTCCTTCATTTGCAATGCTTAAGCGGATTCAATGAAAACTTCCCCGTTGTTGAGTACATGACTTTAGCCCCGTCAATATCTTAACTGCTAATAAAAATTTATCGCTTACATAAAATGCTTTTCAAATTCTTATTTCAAGTAAGAACTCGCATTAAAATTTGTTCTTATCATAAAGATTTCGCGATAAAATCCATTAGCGAGAAATGAATCATTTTTTGAAGAAATTTTTTTTCGTTCGCTCTTGTCATGGAAAAAAACGTAAAATTACGACAGAGTCGCTAAGTGAAGCTCAGTCATTCATCTGTTCTTAAACACAAACATTTAATGCGTATGAATCGAAGCTCTTATTATCATTTTAAAAACATTTGATGAATGAATGTAAACAACAAAAAAATGACCAAAAATGTTTATTTAGATCCACACTCGTTGTTAGTCCAAAGTACATTTTTTGCGGACGTCATAAAACATCTGCCATGATTTATTATATAATGAATTAAATTGTTAACGTCTGTTGTTGATG